GGGTTCAGGTGCGGCAGTGTCTTACGGTGCGGTTATTTCTTACGGTGCGGCAACACCAATAGTTCACCAAATATGCACCATCAACGTTAGGAAATACACCACACAAAACAGAGTAAACAGAGCCCTGCATCACCAAACACACACCATTAGGTGTGAGTAAAAACACCATACACTGTTCGGAAATACACCATTGGGGGTGGTGAGTTATATGGTGTGTTTTTTTGAGTCTGTGGTGTATTTTGTGATGTTTTATTACATTTCATTGGGGTGTGTTTTTATTACACTGTTGGTGCATATTGTTAACACTGTTGGTGTATTCTGGAATTTGACCGCACCGCCGCACCGTAAGACCCCGCCGCATATGAGCGCTCTTCTATATATATATATATATATATATATATATATATATATATATATATATATATATATATATATATATAGCAAAAACTTGTGTGGCATACATAGGTCACTGCCTGGCATATATATATTATATATATCAATGGACTTGACTACTACAATAGTACAATGGACTTGACTAAAGTCGTGCATGATTGACTCCAAAATGAACGCGTAATGAAAATTACGAAGTAAGACTCAAGTTGGTTCGTAACGATCCATTTCAGGTAATTAAGTGGTCGCAACGGCCTCTTCTTACCCTCCCAAATTTGGCAAATTATTCTACTCATCTATAGACTATAGTATCTCATCAACCTAACTTCCTTGCTCACAACGTAACCACTTGAGACAATTAGCAAATACAATTTTACAGTCAAAAGTTTAATCAACCCTCCCCTGATCAAAAGTCAAAATTTATGATTCCGACTCTATTTAAGTTTATCAGATTTTGTTGATTTGATAATCACGAGATTATAAATTCAACTCTTAATCAAAGTCTTTTTAGTTTGAGTTGATCTTTATCAATGCACAATGATATGGATTTAACGAGTTTCCTTCATTACTCCAAAAAAAAATCAGATTATATATGTGTACATACTAGAGCTGTAATATTTAAATAAACTTTTAGCGGTGACCTTTAACATATTGTTGACACCTCAATCGTTAGATTTTCAAGTCGTCAATAGTAATATTAATAATCTTTTTTATACGCGATGTGCAAAAACATATACCTAATATTTATATTTTTAAAAATAACTAATAAATTCTTACTAATTAAAATCTATATGAAATTAAATTTATTTATTATATTAATCTAATATATAATGTTTGCAAATATTATTATCATTAAGGAATATAAGAAAATATATGGTGGATGCATGTGCATAGTAACAATAATTAAAAAAGATAACGGAAGTTATAACGGTATGGGTATTTTTTGTCCAAAAAATTGTGTAGTACAACTCTAAAAGCACAATGTACAAAATGATTATGCACTAAAAACATGGACATAAATTAGGGATATAACTTTGATTGAGACTTCTCATTTGGTAAATGGTTGTTAGCTGTTGGTTGATTGGGTTAATTAGATGGTATAACTAGTTGATAACATTAGCTGATTGTTGAAAGGTGTTTGGTAAATTAGTTGTTAGCTGATAGCTGTTTGACATAATTTCTTTTCTCAAAAAACTAATTAAAAAAATTGCTTTGAGAGTAGCTTTTTAAATTTTAGCAATTTAGAGTTACAAAAAGCTAATTAACCAAACATTTATATTAATTTTTTAATCAAGTCAAACAACTAATAGTGATCAAATAAGTCAAAACTGGTTAGCCTGTCTATAAGCTAACTATTTTACCAAATAGGGTATAATGTTTTTAGATTTGAATACTATAATCATATTTTTTTCACAATTAATTTATTTGTATTTTCCCATGAACAAAAATAGATTTGTAATATCGTTAATAATATTTAAGTGTAAAGTAATAATAGAATAATATTTTGATACGTTTAAGTGCAAAGAAGTATAGGATGGTATCATGGTTACTATGGCAACACTGTATTTTGAATTTTTGTGGCTCCATTTTTATAAATAAATATAATTATGCTCAATTAATTAGGAGAGATCATATAAGTGAAAATTAAATTGTAATTTTGGTAATCAAAGAAATTTGGTGTGAAAGTTGTAAAAATAATGGAGGAAGGAAGAATATTGTTTTCAATTTTCACATCTATGACCCGTTGAGCTGTCCATGCAGGCAAGGAAGAAAGAATATTGTCCTCTTCAATGGTGGTGCGTGATTTGAGAAAAAAAGACCGATAAGTTTTAGACAAGATAGAAAGAGACATGAAGGAATGTGAACTTAATTAATTGCATTTTTTTTTCTTAAGCAACTAGATCAAAAATAGATATTAGGTCTTCAAAATTTGAGGTCGTGTACTATTAGGTATTGTGCACGAGTCAAAATCAGCCTTAACTATGGTAGCACTGAATGAGCAAATGAATGACTCTCAACAAGAGTATCAATTACCAAGTATTCAAGTTTAAGTAAATAGTTCACGTATTAAAATTGTATAAAATTGTATTGTATTTAAGCGATAATAAATTACTCTTATATCGTATTTAAACAATAATAAATTACTATTTACAAAAAAAAAAAAAAATGATAAACATACGTAAATTTTCCTTTTGCATATTTACTATTTAGTGCAGTCTCAAAGACTCATACAAACCGTTTCGGTCAAGCGGTCTTGACGCGTGCACGTCATTATGATGTCATCATTCTAAATTTGGCATATTATTTTTCCTTGTACACGTTATGTATTTGACCATGCTAGCTTCCATTCAACTTCAAATCATACACAATAATTGTATGACTCTAAGTTATGTTTTTTTTTTTTTTTTTAAATCACGAGAAAATCTGCTGTAACTATTTAGGGTGTATATGAATAAACTATCATTTGTGTATAATAATTTATAAACTACATTGAAAATGTAATAACATTTAAATAAACTTTTTTTACAATGCTTCATATACTATTGGCACCTTATTTGATGAGTCCAAAGATTTAGATAACACACTAGTAATAGTGGTCTTGTTCGAATACTAACACTGTTGTGATATTGATGAGTCACATTTCTGTGCAATTGTCTCACTAATTTTAATTTGTGTGACGGGTTGCATATAAGCTATTCTCTTGTTACTTGTGATATAAATCATGATACTTATTAAAGAAAGTTTAATATTAATTTAAAATTGACGAAATATCTGATAAGTCCAATATTTTTGTTGCTCCCTAGCTAACTCCGTTGTGGTCGCAACTCGGGAGTAGGGGCCTGGTGACAATATAATTGAGCAAGGTACTACACCCGACCGGTGCTATTATTCTAACCTATAGAAGTCAAAGCACTTAACACAGTCAAATAGTAACACCCAAGCAGAGCATGCATGTGGAGTGCATGTCAATTACTAAGGAGTTGTGACACTTAGTGATGGGAGCCGTTGCACGTATTAGGAGGTCGTCGTGCTCATTACTCATTAATATTGCAATTGTTACCACAAACATAAAGGCCTGACACCATGTAACAACAAGGGGGGACACGCTCACAAAACTTGTACTCAACACTCATAACAATACACTAACAACTTACTTGTTACTCATTTCTGATATGAATATACTCCGGTAGCATATTTACCATAAAAAAATAAATAAATTGTTACTTATAATAATTATTATAATATTTATATGTAAAATTGTGATACTATTTAAGGTAAAATGATTGTTATTAATGATAAATATTATAATACTTATAACTGAAATTGTGATACTTATAAAGTGTAATTCTAATTTAAATATTGTAATACTTATATGTGAAATGTTGTGTATGAAAGAAATTGTAATATTTATTGTATAAATTTTAATATTACTTTGTGTTAAAAATAAACCATTACTTATGATAGATATTGTAATACTTATATATGAAATAATGATACTATTTAAGGTAAAAATTAATTGTTACTAATAATAAATATTGAAATACTTATAGATAAAATTGTAATACTTACACACTAAATCATTTACAACTCAACATGTTTAATAGACAAGAATTAATAAGTCAGTGTCACACAAGTTTTTACCTAGAATAATAATGGTGTGTATAACGAAATTTATGCATCTTAACATATATTTATGTTGGTCAATTACAAGGTCTTTAATGTATATTTAATGACACCCGTGTCATATAATTATATCTTTCGAGCAACATTTAGTGCTAGTTTGTAAGATGTAGTCAGCCAATCCATATATAACAAACTGCGATAAAATTATGAATAATTGACTATTATCTAAATGGAAAGACATTATATTAATAGAAAAATAAATTAATAGTTAGCAGGAGTTTCTCACGACACCTAATATTGACTATTCTTTTTTTTTACTAACTTTGTTACATTGTAGTATATGTTCATTTGATCTCTACCTTTTTAACCTAATGAAACATAAAGAGTCACAAACTATTTCAAACTATTATGATTGACAATTTTTTTTTAATTTTTTTTTCAAATTTTTTATTTCTATGAGAATTTTTTTTAGTTAATTCATGCAACAATTCTTATGACAGGTCAAAGGGTAAATCATGATGATAGAATTGATCAACCTAGTTATATAGGCTAAAATTTAGTTACATAGGCTAAAATTTTTACTTACTGCGCACAAGAAGTCTACTAATTTAGAGCGATCGCTCTCACATTATTATTGGTGAGACTCGATCATTGATCTTTTGTGACAAATTTCACATATGTGATACTAATACTATGATATGAATTCAATCCATTTTAAAATATTTAATGAACATTAATAAAAAATGATAAATCCCATAAACCAAACATGTAATTATCGAAAAGCAAAGCTTATTAGATTATGTTGGGTTGGTTGACTAATTAAGTTGTGTTCTAAACACAAAAGATAATAGTTTAATATGAGTATTAGATTAGGACGTCAATTCACATATCAAATCATACAAGTGATATATATAACTAATAAATGCCATTGAAGCAAAGTGTCATATTCACAAGCAAATGAGGAATTTTGGTTCCAACACAATAAATGCTCACAATGGGTTTGAATAGAAAGAACAGAGAAATGGTCCCATGGACAATAAAGAAGCAGCAAAACTTTTCAATTGTATTAAAGTTTCTCTGGGTAATCACTATCAACAGAAACCAAAACACTGAGAGTTACTCTCTATACCTACTCCAAACGCAAACCTCGTTGTACAATAGTGGCGGGAGCTCAGCAGCAGCGCCTTTTGTCCAGCCTGAAATGTGCTCGTTCCCGTCCTCTATGAGATACATGTAAAAATACAAAATATCATTCGTATGCGTATGCCTATACTCGCTGTTAGTTTGAAAGGTGTGTTTCAGTCCCGAAAGTAATGGTGTATGTAATATGTTGTGTGTTCTACTTCACAAATGGCGAGATGCTGGCATGATACTCCAATCTTGAACCAAGAATGGCGGTGTTATGTCCCGTTTCCAGCATAATTATACCCTTTGTTGAGCCAAAGATTGAACCAATTGGCAACAGGGCCACCACCATGCAAGATAAGGTATAAAATGAATGCGATGTAACCAGCAGTCCCAGCACAGACCAGGAAACCAAACAGCAATCCATTCACTTCCAAGACGAAAAAGTCCAGCAAAAGATACCCGTTAATCACCATCACCAGGATTGCAACAGTCCATGCAAATTTCTACAGTAAAAGTTATGCAAGAATTATGGTGTTAGACACTGCCAAATAATCACACTACACAAACATATACGTGCGTGAGCATCAGAATTGTTGAAAATTTAAAATATGCTTTGCTTTACAATGAAAAGGATAGTTCAGATTGTTGTTCATTGCATAAAGTGTTTATTTTTGACAGGATAAGCCCCATCAGAAAAATTGCAATTTCAACTGAACAAATGTGAAGTCTGAAAACCTTGCGTAAAGCATATTTTAACCCCATCCCCTATCCAAAAAGCCGGAATAAGTTCCATATGCTTCATCAACAAATTTAGGCAATTAAATGCCACTTCGAATGGCAGGCAACAAGTATTTGACCAGCTGTTAAATCCCCCTCTTTTCTCTTCTAAGATTCTGATGTCAAGTATTACCTCTTCACACCCCGTTCTAATATACTAAATCTTAAAGATTATGTAACTCCACCCCGCTTCCCTGATTGAGCTCTTATGAACCAGAGTAACAGTATCTCTATTTCATATGGTCATATTTCTATGAGTGAAAGGGTAAAATTCAAGATACAAAAATGGTCTAGATAGTTTCGTTTTCTTCTGTTGATTCTTGTTCTTGCTTAATATGATAATAAATTTCAAAAAACTTTTAGCTGACTTATTATTTACTAACTACTATCTGTTTCAGGTACTGTCGAACTGAGCAGATTAACTGTGGTAAATTAACTGGTATTGATTACTTACCTCAATGATAGGCCTGATTCTGAAGGTTCCCATCACCTCCTCCTTAGAGACCAAAGTCAGAAGTGGGATGAGTGCAAAAGGGATTTGAATAGACTGCAACACATTAAGCCATTCGTTTAGCACATCCAACGATGATTCTGTTCTATGGAAAACCAGAGCCACAACTATCGTAGGCAAAATGGCACAGCTCCTAGTGATCAGAGCCCTCAGCCATTTCTTCAAGCGAAGATCCAGAAAACCACCCATGATAAATTGCCCCGCATAAGTACCCGTTATAGTACTACTTTGACCAGCTGCCAGTAATCCGATACCCCAAATGTAGAGGATTGGGAACAGCCCCCCGCCATATTTCTCTTCAAGATACTGTCCCGCATTGACTAGGCCTATATTATCAGCCTGTTTACTGCCATAGAATCCCTTGGCGAAAACAGTCGTAACAAACAAATTGATCAAGAAAGACACAAGAAGGGCAAGAGATGATTCTATGGTGTAATAATTCAACGCCTCCTGAACCTGACCTTTCTTCTTGGGATTAATCTCCCTAGACTGTACCAAAGCTGAATGCAAAAACACATTATGAGGCATTATTACACACCCCACAACTCCAACAGCCTGGCGAATGGTTCTTGAACTAAGTCTCGGAATCAAAAGACCTGTCAAGGGGAAAACGAAACCAGTCAGAAAAAGAAGCACATAAATTAATTACAGAGTAATTGAACTAAGAAATATAACCTGTTAAAAGTTCCTTCCCACTTGGTCTCGCATCTCCAAACATCCAGGCAAAGGAGAGAGCCATAGTTGAAATAAGAACAGCAAAAACAGCTTCCAGCTTCCTCACTCCATAGTTCTCCAGAACCAAAATAAAGAAACTGTCAATAAAAGATCAGACAAAAATAGTTCAGTAAAAGCACTGATCCACCAGTAACACACAGTTATATAACATATAACCAACATTCTTGATTTCAACTCTAATACACTATAATCTATTCATCTTAAAGACATTACCATTAACTAATCAAGAAGATTGAAACTAATCAGCATCATAATTTGTATAGTACACTTGCCAATTTATTATCAAACTTAAAAGGAAGTAATTTCACATCATCCTAATCATCCAATCAGAGTCAACGAAACAAATTATCCTATTGCGTGTGAGAAAATGAACAGATCAAGAATTTATTACCAATCAGAAGCTGTAATTACGACGCCGGCCCAGAGTGGAATAACCCCACGGCTGAGAATCTTAATGGCTATGGCACTACCAATAACCTCCTGAACATCTGCTCCAATCAGGGCCAACTCCGCCATGAACCAGAGCAATAGCCCGGCCCAATACGGATACTCCTCCCGACAGAGCTCCGCCAGGTGCCGGCCAGTGGCGACGCCGACTCTGGCGGAGAGAAGCTGAATCAGCAGGCCCATGGCGGTGGCCCACATGAGCAGCCATAGGAGCGAGTAGCCGGCAATCGCTCCCGATTGCAGATCCCCCTCGAGATTCCCCGGATCCAGAAACGCTATGCTCATCAAAAACCCCGGCCCGGTGAACCGCCATAGCTGCCTCCATGAAAAGGGAGGGACGGTGCTGCAATCAACGCCGTCGGCCGTCTCCGATTCGATATCAACGGCCCCAACTTTCTCCTCCCGCGATTCATACTCGATTCCCGCCTCATCATCCTTCTCCGCTTTCCCTTCCGCCAACGGCAACGTTGACGGGGAGGACGGGAGGAGGCTCCGGTACTCTTCGCCTTCGGAATTCAAGGGCGGCGTAGATTCTTCTAATGGAGCCGAGCTCATTATATCATTGTCCCCCCGCTCGGCTCAATTCCTCGTGAAGAAAGAAAGAAAATACGGGACTACGTTAATGGCGTCCGAAATGAGTCCCTAATTTTCAGATAAAAAACGTGACGGTGGTGGTGGCGGCAGCGGCGACGAATCCGCGACGTCCGTCTTGTGTCGTGCTCGTGCCCCTCTGGTCCCGGTGCCGGTATTTATATATTTATGTAACGAGAATTTTACAGTACTCCCAAAAATTTTACCAATTGGTTTTCGTGTCCAATCCTGAACGGACACGTGGGATTGTGGCCCCCACTGGCCACGAGCTCCAATAGTACAAAGGTCACCGGTTTGAGTTGGTTAAACCGGTAATCTTTGCGCGGCGTCGCCGGCTTGACGGCTCGCCGCTTGCGGCAATCTATCCAAAGAACAGCAAAAGGAAGTGACATTTAAAGTTATTTATATTTTTATATATAATTAAGTAATTACGACTAGGACTACGTGGTCTAATGGTATCCGGGTTGGACTTTCAATTGGAAGATTATGAGTTCAAGCCTCAGTGGAGGCGTTATTGGTTCTTTGTGTTTCAGTAGGTTGAGAAAGTATATGAACAGATACTACAATGTAATAGAGCCAGTAACTTGGAGACACAAATTTTTATTAGCCCCATAAGTATAGCATTGATTAATATTAATTTTACTAGTAGTATATAATATGATCCAATGCAACCTTTTGACATACTTATTACATAAGAGGTTATAAATGTTTTGGCAAAAATTATTAGTTGAATTTCATCCACACATACATACTAAACTAGATATGATGATATTTGACAAGTGAAGACACATGTTTAACATGTTGCAAAGAAATTGAAATGGCATTTTATTTGTCAAAAAAAATGTGAGATCAGGTTTTGTCAATAGACGATGGTGTAATATGTACATTCTTATGAGGTGATAATGATCAATAATTTATTTGAGATTTGAGTAAATTTAATAAATTTGCATAATATACTTGTACGTTATTGAGTTTATTTGAATTGCTTCGATACAAACTCAAATGAAAAATAATGTGCAAAGATTGATGGGATAAATTAAACATGATTAATACATGAAAGTTTATAGACTTTTATGATGTTTTAAGAATTTTCTAGAGGTTCTTTATTTACCACTTATACTTTTTTTTTTTTAATAATACTCCGTATAAATAATTGTTGAATAAAGTCAAATGTTTGTTATTAATCATAATTGCAAAATAATTTATTAAATATTAATAACTATCACTAGTCAAATATGCATTAATAATAATTATTGTCATATAACAATAGTTGAGAATTAGTGAATAAGAATGGTTTCACGAAATGAACCACAACTAAGGGCATAAACCAAGTTCACAAGATAAGATCGAGGATGAGGCTGATGCTATTGTGGTTGGAGGCCAAGAGGCAAATCTATGGTCTATGTCAATGACCAACCTAATGTAATCTCTAATAGGCCTTGTGTAATATTGTGGTTACCCATTATATCGAGAGCTCATTTCTTTAAGTCAAAGGCATATCCATCATATATGGTAAAAATACAAGAATTGTCCATTCGGGCTTAGCGTAGTGATTTATCGTCTGATTTAATGTTAAGACTGGAGGGGACAGTGTGAGGATTCGATGGAAGCTAATTGCGTAACTCGTGGGGTCCTATGATCTTAGGATTAGTCCAGCGAAACTGAAATCACCCGAATATTAAAAAAAAATACAAGAATTTTATAAGTCACAATGCATTTTACATATTTCTAGAATATTGCGGTTTAAACCTCAGCAGCTCACTGTGCGGCTGTTTATTGAGCCATTGAGTTACAGATGTTTACTAAGCTATTGAGTTACCATTATTTACATTATCCGTCCCAAAGGAAATTGTCACTAGTGAGAATTAAATTCGGGTTATCCCTAGGATCGTCCCCACAAAGAAATTAATTCGTCACTTGAGTTATCCATTTGAGTTATAGATAATAATTATTGTAATTATATGTGAAATTATGCATATTTGTGTACCCCACATTCTACAAAACCACAAAAAATATATATACTTTTTTTTTTCAAAATATAAAAACGAAGGGAGTACAAGGAAAAAGTTTTTCCAAAGTATAATATTTGGACTATTTCCAAATTGACTAAATTCTCCCTGTCGGACAAGAAGGATGGAATTGATATGTTAAGAAGTATAAAATCCGAACCGGAAGTCGCATCTCAAAATTACAACCATCAGATTTAATCATCACCTGTGTTGGGCCCCACAATGATTGGCTATCCTTTTTTATTCTCTGCCCAAAGTAGATAAAAATAAAGAAGGCAAAAAGGATCTTTATAAACCTTTACTCCGTATTATTTTTTCTAAGAATAAGGGTCAAATAGGCCATCGAACTGCACACAATAAAATAATTAGGCTATTGAACCTAAAAAACAAACAATTAGGTCCCTAAACTAATCAATTTCAAACAATTCTACCAATTTGAAAGTTTCCAACAGGTCATCTCCCAAATTAATTATTTTTTAAAAAATAAATTTTAAAAATTAATTAGTTTTAAATAAATAAAAAAAAAAAAAAAAAAAAAAAAACTGGAATCCAGCCGGAGACTACCGTCTCCGGCCGGTTTCTTCGTCTCCATGGCCGGTGGCCGGAGACGAAGAAGGTTTCTTTCTCCATGGCTGGAGACGAAGAAACTCTTCGTCTCCACTGCCGGAGACGAAGAGTTTCTTCGTCTCCGGCCATGGAGATGAAGAGTTTCTTCGTCTCCGGCCATGGAGACGAAGAATTTCTTCGTCTCCGGCCATGGAGACGAAGAATTTCTTCGTCTCCAGCCATGGAGAAGAAGAAACTCTTCGTCTCCATGGCCGGAGACGAAGAGTCTCCAGCTGTAGAGACGAAGGCCGGAGACGAGGGAGACGAAGGCCGGAGACGGTCGTCTCCGGCTGGAATCAGTTTTTTTTTTTTTTTTTTTTAAGTTTAATTTAAAACTAATTATTTTTTAAAATTTAAATTTAAAAAATAATTAATTTGGAAGGATGACCTGTTGACCTGTTGAATACCTTCAAATTGGAAAAATTGTTTGAAATTGATTAGTTTAGGGACCTAATTGTTGGTTTTTTAAGTTCAGTGACCTAATTGTTTTATCGGGTGCAGTTCGATGGCATATTTGACCCTTATTCCTTTTTTCTAAATTATTGAGATCATTACTGGGTATTTTATACGTCAAATTATGCTGTGCATGGTGCATACGGATGCAAAAACGACGTTGTTTTATTAAAATCGCGCGTTTTCCCTTAAAAAAAATTATGTTTGATTCCCAGCAGCAACATATGAACTAAAATTTCAGAATCGATGAACTATAATTCCAGAATCTATGAACTAAAATTCTAGAATCTAATCTATGAACTAAAATTTCCAGAATGAATGAACTAAAATTCCAGAATTTATGAACTAAAATTTCAGAATCGATGAACTACAATTCCAGAATCGATGAACTATAATTCCAGAATCAATAAACTAAAATTCCATAATCTATGAACTAAAATTCCAGAATGAATGAACAACATAATGTTGTTGCTGGGAATCGAACTTGAATTTTTTTTTTTTTTAAGGTGAGACGGGCGTTTTTAATAAAACGACGTCGTTTTTGTATCTATATGCACCATGCATGGTGCATACGGATGCACAACATAACTACTCATTTTATACCGACCACAGTGCCCCCTCACATCGTATCACTTTGAATGGTGGTAAATTTTGTTTTCTCTTACGATATATTTTTGTTAATTCATATAATATTTCGGAGATTTACATAAATCAGGGTCTAATCATATTGTAATACTCACACTTCACTATTGATATTTGCCGTCTTTATAATTGATTTTTAATTTGATCATAATAAATTATATTATTATGAATTTAAATAAAAATTAAAAAAATTAAAAAATGTTTAAATGTATAATATAATAACACAATCTGACTTCTATATTTTTTGTCAAGTATTTAGTTTTATATCATACAAAATTAAAATTACAATTTTAAAATTTTGTATAATTACAATATATAATTCCTAATCATGTATATATTTATATAGATTTCATATTGATCGTCACTACAAGATAGATTAGTGCACCGATACTTTAATTGTTTGAGCGTTACATGTATTTATATGACGTTTTATTTTAAAAAGAAATATATTTTTGCCGACTATAAGAGACCTCATCACACTTCAGCTCGGCATAATTATAGATGGGTAAAACACAATGCATGACTACAATCTGGTAAATTATTCCAACATTAAATGCACAATTTTAATCATGTACACGTATTTATGTATACACTCTACAAACTAAGCCAAAAATCTAAATTGTAAATACTAAATTCTAAGTAGTAAAAAGCGGACCTATATTCTTCAACAAAAAAAAAAAAAAAAAAAAAAAGGAAAAAAAGTGAACCTATAAATCAAGCTAAAATGCAACACACTAAATCAAACCAAACAAAATTCATGAACTCTTAAAAGGCACTTTTAAATTGGACAAAATGCATAATATAGTATTGAAAAGTGCATCGTATAGTGTTGAAAAATGTATTTTTAGTGTTGAAAAATGTATTTTTAAAGTTGAATCGAGAAAATTACCAAAATCGAGTAACTCTAAAGCAAGAGGAAGAAAAATAAAATGATATTATAGTAATTATCTCCAAATTTAAAGTGCATTCACATAACATTAGATGTGTTATGTAGCGTTGCAAAGTATATTATGTATACATGTGCACAATCATGTGTTATGTTTTATTATATTTAATTTTGAGAAAAACTTACAATTTTAGTCCTTAAGTTACGTGATAAGTGTAAATTTTCATCCTTAATTAATATGACGTACATTGCCATTGTAGCTCCTAATTAGTAAAAAATATGGCATATTTAGTCTTAGCTTCCTTATAAGTGATGCATCTATTTTGGATAGAAAAATCTATACATGTTTCTAGCAATCTAGCTAAAATGAGTTGTAATTAATAACTATTTAGTAACTTTTTAATATCAAGTGTATTATGTTTATTTTAACTAATAATAACTGTAATACTCATGTTGTCATGTTACAAATACCCTAACTAAATCCCAATAAATGTTCTCTTCTCCGTTCAAAATCAATTGAATCATTCATGAAGATAATCTCCCATGTGTAGTAGCTAGGAATTTGTTGTGTTGTTTAGGTATTTGTTCTATAAAATTATGTTGAATATACAACTTTGTCAATTATATATACCTTTGAAAACTTACAATTACTATTTGAAAGTTTGTGTCTAGCACTACCCCGCTCTTGTGTAATATATCAGAGTTTAAGAGGAAGATCTCAGGAGCCCGATAATGAAGACTCTGTGTAAAAGACTTGACCAAGAGAGTATTCACAAGAATTGAACTTGTGATGTTTAAGTACGTGAATTATATTCCACCCACTTAATCATATAGACTCATTTAACGTGTTTTTTGATATACAACGAAGTCCAAGTTAGGGTTCAAAAAATCAAGGCCACATGGTGCACGCAAGTTGCCCTTCATTTCTCTTACTTTATAACGCAAAATTGTGGATCGGATGAGCATCTACGTGGCAGCACAACGTCACCATGACTCGATCTAACATTCTCAATAATATAAAACAATAACAATAAAAGTATTCGATAAATGAAAATAGGTACAAAAAATCCGCATATCCACCGATACACATATTTTTTAATATTAAACATAACGTGATGAGTTTATTCTAGTGAGTTTTAAAGTTAATGATCAAGTAGATCAAAACAAAAGCATACTTAAGAATGTCATAACTAAAAAAACTTAATTCAATAATTGAACTATAGTCAATATCAAGTGCTTATGAACCCACCTGCTCTAATATAACTGAAAGATAAAGCGCAAAGATAAAGCGCTATAGCCTATAGCTAGTAAGAAAAACATAATTTTATTTATTTATATTTGTAAGACGGCCAACATTATGTTTTGATGACAAAATGTTAGACTTGATCCCAGGGATGGAGCCAAATTGTCTCCCCTCACCCCACCCCCCACCCCATATATAATATTTGTATGTATATATGTATATATAGTATAGGTTTTAGTATTAATTAGTATAAAAAAAAACTAGCAAATGTTAACAAGTAAGGGTTTATAGTAGTTGGTAAGTCATGTATTTGTTAATGAGAAAAGTCTTGGATTCAAATTTTTGCATTAACATATATTACATATTTTTGAGTCCTTCCCCTATGGCTTCAACACAGTCACTTTTTTAATATTTAATATGTGTAATTTATAATGTGTTTTCTATTCAAATTATTTTATCAAATTAATTATGTTTCAAATTTTGTTATGAATATTTTTATAAAGTTTTGATGTGTTTTTTTTTTTTTTGGCACATATCCAACAATATTTACAAAAAAAAAAAAAAAAAAAAAATTGTAAACATCTCTTTTGTTTTTCTTAAGTAAATATTTACAAAAAAATTATATTTCTTAAGTAATGGTTATATATAAAAAAAAATTCTTAGGTAATTTTTTTAAAAAAAATTATCTCTTTTGTTTTAATGTTTCGTTTTTACTGGAAAAAACTTCTGAATCCGTCCTACTTTTTCGCCCCCCCCTCAATCAAATTTTTGGCTCCGTCCTGCTTGATCCTCTAGATTATAAATTTACACTTAATGATGCTATATTATGCACAAGTATGGCGCAAGCAAGGAGATATGCAGATAATATATAAACCTTGTTAATGGTGATTATAATTATTAGCACTCGTTAATTGAAACCATGGACCGCCATTTCTGTAACCTCGTTCTCCCCCTATATCGTCAGTCGTCACCGCCTTGAACGGCGGCCTGATAACGCCAAAATCCACCATGCATGCATGCATGTATTACTCCCCGCCTATGGATCCATCCTACATATATATGTATCCACCTTTTCTTTCCAACACTTAACTCATCATTCTCATGATGAAGAGAACTGAATATTAACAAGAATCCAACTCATAATGTTTAAATACGAGAATTATATTCTACTTACTTGATCATCCGAACTCAGTTAACCTGTTTTTGAAACGTGCGGCACAGTCCAAGTTAGCTAACGTTCAAGAAATGAAGGCTGAAAGGGGCACGTCACCCTTCATTTCTCTAGCTTTATAACGCGAAATCAAGGAGGAGCATCCACCTAGCAGCTTCACAATGTCAGCGTGACTCGATCTGACATCCTTAATAATATAAAACAATTACCGATAAAAGTAACCGCGAAATGAGAAAGGAGCATCCAGTGTACCTAGCAGCTTCACAACGTCAGCGTGACTCGATCTTACATCCTCAGTAATATAAATAATAACAGATAAAAGTAATTAAGGAGTGAAAAAAAGTACTCAAAACCCTCAGATCCACCGACATACATATGTTTTTTTAAAAATAAATGTTTTAACATTGCGTGACGAGTTTATTCTAGTAATATTTAAAGCAACTTCACAATGTCACTATGACTTGATCTAATATCCTCAATAGTATAAAATAATAACGGATAAAAGTAAGTAAGAAATGAAAAAAGGTATTGAAAACCCTTAGATACACTGATACACATATTTTTTTAAAAAAATATATTTAACCTTGCGTGACGAGTTTATTCTAGTAATATTTTTTTTTGAAAGAGTTCCAGTAAGATTTAAATTAATGATTGAATAGATCCTAACAGAACCATGCTTAAAGATGTCCCAACTACAAAATATAATTCGATAATTGAACAACTGTCAAGATCAAGTGCTATACACATATTTTTAAAAAATGAGTAATGTTCAAATTGGCCACTGAACGTAACCTGAAAATGCAATTAGGCCAGTGAACGAAAAAAAAAAAAAGTGCAATTAGGCCACATAACACTCCAAAAACATGCAATTATGCCACTGAACACTCTAAATGTATGCAATTTCACCGGATAGTAGGTTACCATCAATTTTAGCAGGTTACATGCTTACATGGCACTCTGCCGTTTTTTTTTTTAAATATATATATATATATATATAATTAAAATTTATTAAAAATCATTAAAAATGACAACTCAGCTGCTTCCTGCTAAAATTGATGGTAACTTGCTATAATTGCATACATTTGAATTGTTTAGTGGCCTAATTGCATTTTCAGGTTATGTTCAGTGGCAAATTTAAACTTTATTCCTTTAAAAAATATTATATTTAACCTTGCGTAATGAGTTGATTCTAGTAAGATTTAAAGTTAATGATTGAATAGATCGTAACAGAACTATGCTTAAAGATGTCCCAACAAAAAAATCTAATTCGGTAATTGAACAACTGTCAAGAACTCAAGATCAAGTGGTATACCATATTTTGAAAAAATATTTAACCTTGCCTAACGAGTTTATTCTAGTAAGATTTAAAGTTAATGATTGAATAGATCATAACAGAAGTGTACTATGCTTAAAGATGTCCCAACTAAAAAATCTAATAATTGAACATCTGAGTTAGTAGGGATTGCATAGTAGTGGTTATGCAGGCTTTTATGTTATGGCTGAGGCTATAAATTTATATATACTTTTAATACGGAGTACTATATTATACACAAGTATGCATGCAAGCAAGGAGATTATGCAGATAATATAAACCTTGTTAATAGTGATTAGCACCCATAATCTTAATTCTAAACCACACCGCCATTTCTGTTACCTAGTTCTCCTCGCCCCTTAGCGTCACCGCCCTTGAACGGCGGCCTGATAATGCCAAAACCCTTCATGCATCTATATATTACTCCCCGCCGATGGATCCATATATGCCATCATATATATATGTATATGCATATATATATATATATATATATATATATATATATATATATATATATATATATATATATATATATATATATATATATATATATATATATATATATATACATCATCTTCTTCATGATGATGATGTAACAATAGATATATACTAGTCATCATCATCTTTACTCTTTCAACCTCCAACCTTCCCATCTATAACACCGCACGAACTCCATTAATTGTTCTCCAGATTCATTTAATACATACTCTCTCCATTCTACCACCCAGGATGGAGTAGAAAACGTTAGTTATTGCAGCAAAAAGTTTCTATATTTGAAGATTAAGAAATAAATTTAATAATGGGGAGAGTGAAGCTTCAGATCAAGAGGATCGAGAATAACACTAACAGGCAGGTCACTTTCTCCAAGAGGAGAAATGGTCTGCTCAAGAAAGCTTATGAGCTTTCGGTTCTGTGTGATGTTGATGTCGCCGTCATTATGTTCTCTCCTTCCGGTAGGCTTAGCACTTTCGCTGGAAGCACAAAAAGGTTTGCTTTAATTTAACTTTAATTTGTCTTGTTATGATGTATGAACTTAATCTGCAGCTTTAATGGAGTTTTTTCTGGTTTGTTTGGTGTTGTCAGTATGGAAGACATTATCATGCGATTCGTGAATCTTCCGGAACAGGAAAGAGGACGGTAAGAATTATATATTTCAATTCTCAGAAATTGTATCATAGTAACTATCGTTTCAAGAAAAGTATATTAATGATGTTCATTGAATCTTGAATCTCCTTTGGATGCGCTGCAAAGTCTGCAAAACCAAGAGGTACCGTACAACTACATTCTTCTTTTTTTCTTTTAATGTTGCTTTAATTTAATTTCTAGTTGTGTATATATGGAAGCTTTTTCAATTCATTAATGGCGGATATATTGAATCAACTGTACTTGCAGTATCTGAGAAGGGTTCTTGAGAAGCTGAAAAATGAATCATCAGATCATGCAGCCGCCATTAGGTATAACATTATTCTGATCTTCTCTGATTTGAAAGCATCAAGAACTACTGGGATTTCTTGGGTTAATCTGAAAGATGAAAACTTTAATTTGTTTGTGTTGATGTCATACAGCCCAGTGAATGGTGCTAATGATTCTCAAATCACGGTAAGATTTTCCATTTCTGGGAACTTATGACTGGAAGTTATGGTGTATTTACTGTGTTTTTTTTTTCCGGCAGGAAATTCAACGCAAGCTTGAGCAATGCCAGTCGCGACTGGGAGAAGTGGAGCAGCAACTGCTGTAATTAGCAGCTTTAATTAGGGTTTATTTAGTTTAATTATGGGTGGATTTAGGTAATATAATGATGGTTAATATGAGTGCAGAGTTTATGAATGCGATCCCGGCGAAATCATGACGCTGTACGAGGCGCAGTGTCGGGAGAGAATTTTCGAGCAAAACCTCAACCTAGTCCGACAGCGCAAGGTTAGTGTTGTCTGTCCGTTATTAATGTTTAGATTCCATTCTTCCCAAAATAGTTAAATACCCAATCCGAGGGCCCACACCCGACCAACAGAGGATCTGAAATGATATAAATTATGGTAATTCAGATGAATCAGACTAGACATTTACTTATTGTACACAATGACCTCCTCAATTTGAGAGGTTGCTCCCCTCCCTGGTGAGACTCGATCCCTAGTCATTCTTTCAAAACTTTAGTCTTGTGACTAATTGAGCTGCTTATGCGAACATAATGTTTAGATTCTATATGTTCCGGGCACTATTAGCTCAATTAATTATTGTACACAATGACCTCCTCTTTGTAAGCACTGGACACGTCACTATTGGAAATTATGGAATTTCCGACCACTTGAAAGTGATCTTAAATCAAGTTGTAAGCAAAAAGTGGTCGGAAATAGCAACAAATATTTTTCCCGATACCAAAAGTGGTCGGAAACAAAGCTTTCAACTTGATTTAAGATCACTTTCAGGTGATCGAAAATTTCAGAATTTCCAATAGTGCGTACTAATCCTCCCAAGTCAGTTGAGTCACTGTAATTTATTATATTTACAAATTCTGATGGATTGGGGTGCGAAAGCCCTAGCTGGAAGGGAATTTTGTTTTTGTGGAGATTAATTAGATGTTATTTTGGAGGTGGATAATTGTCTGAATTTGTTGTTGATGTGATGATGGAACAGCAAATTCTGGAGGAGAAGTTTAATCCCATTCCCGACACCCAAGCACCTTCAGAGGTATGTATATATATGATGATGAAATTAAAACTAATTAACAGAAGATTTTGAAGATGACAAACAGACATTAATTAATTAACCAAATATAATGTATGTTTTTGTGTGCAGCAGCTGAATCTGGGTTTGGAGACGACGATGAACACCATTGATTTTGCTCTCGTGGATAACTGGCTTCCAGCTGACAAAGACCCACATTCCCAGATCTTCAACTTTCTTCCCAATGGCTTTTTTCCTCACAGGTATATACTAAAAAAAAGTACACAGTAAATTAAAAACCCTGAAAAAGAGGCCGGATGGCCGGAGTTGTCTGATCTGATCTGATTCCGGTTTTCTGACAGAGATGAAACGGGACCCGTTCACCAGCCCATGGTGGCGCCGCCACCTTTGCCACTGCTTCACGTGGAAAACGTGCCGCTAGGTGACCATCGCGTGACTTCAAGAGCGGAGGATGATATGCCACGCCCCGGCGACTTGTTTGGACCAATCATCGACGTCAATGTTTCGCCGTGGACACAATACGGCGGCGCACCAGGTTTAATTTTCCGTCAGTCCATCATTTTTTTACAAGAAAAGAAAAATTCATTCTGACCCTACGAAATAAATCAGCTTAGATTGTCTATAACTAGGTCTACATTGTCAATAAATCAGCCTAAATTATTTATAACTAAGTCGATCTTGCTCTCCTAAACAGAACTTGTAACTTTCTGGTTAATGAATAACCTGACCTGCATATTTTGTTTTTGTTCATTAACAGAAAGGCTAATTAATTAGTTTGAGACATCCTTAAATTTGTTTGTTTGTTTTGGTTTTTAGCGGCGAACGTTCCATTGCCGTCGACATACCCGAGAGATCGAGCGATTCTTGAAGCATGGATAGCACAGTTTAGCACCCCATCACTAAATCAAGATCATATATGAGTGGGATCGGAGAACAGAAGATCATATATGAGCTACCGGCGGCTGGCTAGTATATATGAGAATTTTCTGAAATAATAATGTTTTTCTCTAAAAATAAAAAATGGGGGTATTTTATGATTGAATAAATACATACATAAATAAATAAATGGAATAGTATATGATAGTATTAAGGTGGGAGTGGAAGGTGTTTGGGACTTTGAGGAGCTTTTTTATAATGGTAATAATGTTTATTGGTGTAGTTTTCATATATTGGTAATAAATAGGTATGTATTACTATTTCTCCCGTGTTTTATTTATACTTGAAAGAATATATAGACGAATTTCATTTGTTTCTTTATTGGTTTTGAGTCATTTAGTTTGCTTGCGTAGAGGTGTTTAATTTGGTTGTGGGTGGTTTTGAAAATTGGGGTAGGAATTAATTTTATAAAACTCAATATGATGATGTATATTTAATAAACTTTGTTGATATATAATATGGTCTATAAAATATATACGAGATATAAATTATTGCATAAGAAAAATTTGTGTAACGAACTCGACCTAAGACTCGGACCCTATACACCAGCTATACTTAGGGCTTGTTTGGTTATCAGCGATTAGCGGTAGCGGATTATGTTAGCGGTTAGCAGTAGCGGATTATGTTAGCGATTATCAGATAGCGGATTGTATTAACGGGGTTGACCTGCGGATTGCATTAGCGATTTGTTAAAAAATGTTTGGTAAAATTAGTTGTTTAAATTAGCGGTGAACATGTAAAATGAGCTATAATAATAATAATAATAATAATAATAATAATAATAATAATAATAATAATAACAACGTCATTCAATAGGTTGAATATAATAATAATAATAATGTTATTATTATTATAATTATAATTATAATAATTATAATATAATAATAACAATAATATAATAATAAAAATAAAAATAAAAATATAATAATAATAATAAATAATAAATAAATAAAAAATAAGGAGGTTGCAGCTTGCGCTACTCCCCTCTTCTTTTTTCACTTTTTCCACCGTCTCACATCGGTAGGAAAAGTGGAAGTGGAGCTTCAAGGCTCCACTTTGAACAAATAGTTGCCCATCTGGGTGGACAACATTGAATACCATTAACGGCTCCTCAATAATTAAGTTATTTTTTTTTTAAATGTAAACAGGGGCGTTTTGAAAAATTTTTATTTTTCCTCAAAACATCAACTGCAAACGCTGCAAAGTGCTGCGTTTGCAAAAGCAGCAATTTAGAGCAAACCACTGCTTATCCAAACAACGTTTTTGGCGGTTTGACAATGTCAAACTACTAAAAAATGGCGATCTATTGTTAACCAAACACGTCCTTAGTAATTTAACATTCACATGTTGCACATCATTGATTTACTATTATGGGCTAGGCCGGTTGGTTCATCATTCATTTGAAATATTTGATACATGACTTCAATTTTATGTAAGCACATCAATTGATAGGCCAACACTACTAGAAATTGGGAGCAGCAGGACGAGTGATTGTTAGACAAAAGTAATACACATAATGATTTAGATTTACTTTGACTATTTTTTATTCGGCTACTATCGATTGATATTTTTAAATCATAAAGAATGAATAAAAATTAATAAAAAAAGTCAAAATTAATTTTAAAGTGAGAATTTATATTTTTGAATTTCATCACGAAATTGTAGTATGTATACATATAATGATTTAAAACAATACACAATACTAGAGTATCCACAATGGTTAGGGGATTTATTTCACCAATTATAATATCATAAACTAAGGTTCACCATATGCATTGTAAATAATAGCCGATATTATATATGTAGTTCACATATTAAGTACATTTAACATATACATAATCTATTTATTGAAGGTACACATATAATTAAAAGGCGTTAGCAAATTTGGATGAGTGCTCATTAGACAACAGTCGTTAATGTTCAGTCATCATTGGTTGTTTTACACATGATTTAGGTTTTCATTTGTTGTTTTTTATCCCGTCGCCAGTAATTGGTATTTTCAATTCAAATAATAAAGAGAATGAATAATATATAAAAGAGTGTACAATTTTGTGAACTGAGAATAATTATATTATTTACTTTCATCATAAATTTTGTAATAGACGTATATATAATCATCTAAAAAATACACATTACATTATAGTACCCACAATAAATATGATATATTTTCCCTCCACAACATCACTTATATCAATACCGTCCCACGATAATTAATTATATTATAGACCACTTTACTACACATAGTAAGCACAAACATAGCACACTCTTTTTGGGCTTGAGGTGTAATGTATTCTCTTTGTTATTTTAATTTTCTACCAGTGTTGAAGAATCAACGTAATGCAACCCTGGCACTCGATCTCCTATCTCATACGGATTGTGATTAGGTACAAATTAAATGACTCCCCTAGTGAAAAATGCGCACAAATTTTAATCATTAAATTCATCAAGACTTACTGTTCTAACAAAAAAAAAAAAAAAAAAAAAACACTTCGAATTAACAAATATTGTGCACTTTACAACACAAAATCGTGCACTTTCAGGCATACAAATGTGCACTTTAAGGGCAAAATTATGCACTCGAAAGCATAATATATGTTTAATTGAAGCAATTTATGGTAGCAAAAAGAAAAGTTATTCAACTTAAGTGATATTGAAGCAATTGCCCATAAAAATTGTCTGTAAATCTCACAAATTCCATTAGAAATGTAGTTATAGATTATTGAAATAAATGCAAAACATATCATACATATTGACCCATAAATATGTAATTAAATGCAAAAAAATGTCCACTTAAACGCACTGAAATGTACACTTGAATGCCAAATATTTACACTCAAAGGGAATATTAAGTACTGAGACAAAACATATACACTTTAAGAAGAAAAATGTGCATTTGAAGAGAGAAAAATTATGCATACAAAAAAATTAAAATTTCCTAATCAAAATTAAAACGATGCCACGGCATATTTTTGTAATTCTTCATCATTTTATACTTGATCTATGATAGAGATTTAAGCATATTTTTTTCCATAAAAGCATTGATTCGCATGATCCGTAATCTTACATCATAAGTATTAGTGTATTATTACCAAAAAAGAACATAGAGCCTTAAATACCGACGAAATGATGAGTAATTAAATCATTAGCAAAGATGTGAAATTCGCTGGCAGGGGATTAAAGGAACGGCAAATGGAGGGAAAAGAATCAAAAGATCGAATTCGAAGAAAACATTAAATTTTCATTTGACCCAAATCCAGAACCCAGCGAAAAGAATCACGAAAACGCCAGCGCGCTAAAATCATGAAACCAAAAAAATTTCAAAGAATTGCCTGACGCTTGAGTGCTTGACTATATACACTCCAAGAAATTCCTTTTTTTTTTTTTTTTTTTTTTTTTTTACAGTATTCATCTCTCTCTTCAGTCTTCACTCTTCACCCATCCTTTGTGTTTAGTACTGCTGCTCTGTAAAGGGTGGAGATGAGAGCAATGGCGGACAAAGAGAACTGCACGAGAGTGACGCGGCTGTCGAAGAAGAGGGCGGCGGAGTCGATGGCGGCTCAGCTGCAGCAGCAGAGCAAGAAAAGAGTGGTTTTGGGAGAGATTACCAGCGTCCCAAATGTGGGTCTGAGTCAGATTTCGGAGCAACAGAAACCCAAGCCCAGGCGGGCTAAGAGGAAGGTTTTGAAGGCTGCGGGTAAAGGGGTGACGGAGAAGGGGAAACATGAGGATAATGGAACCGATATTGATGCGAAATCTGATGACCCACAGATGTGCGCCGCCTATGATTCTGAGATTTATGAGTATATGCGCCAAATGGAGGTGAATCTTAAGCTTTTTATCCATTCGTTTGAACTTTATTCTAAATGCTTTGATTCTGTACGATAAGAAATGGATTAATGTTGCTTGAAATATTGCCTAATTTGCTTGTGCGATGAATGATTTGATGTTATTGGGTCATTAGATATTATTCAATTGATTTTGTGTAGATATTGATCTGAATTATTATCTTGCAATCATTCAATTTGTTGGGATTTAATATAAGACTGTGATAATGGTTTAGGGTTTTTAGCTAATTAGGGTTTTGTTATTTAGTTTCAGCAGAAAAGCAGACCATTGCCTGATTACATTGAGAGAGTTCAGAAAGATTTGAGTGCAAATATGAGAGGAATCTTGGTAGATTGGTTGATTGAAGTTGCAGAGGAATATGTACTCCTTCCAGATACTCTTTATCTAGCTGTTTCCTATATTGATAGATTCTTGTCCACAAATGTTCTTACCCGACAAAAGCTTCAGCTTTTGGGTGTTTCTTCCATGCTTATTGCCTCGTAAGCACAGAGTTCCGCATTAAAATTGTTTTTCCCATAATAGATTTGTTTTGAGAAATGTTTTCCTTATGATATGTCATATACAGAAAGTATGAAGAGATCAGTCCTCGCAATGTCGAAGAATTCTGTTACATTACAGATAACACCTATACCAAAGATGAAGTGGTAGAAATGGAGGCAGATGTCCTCAAATCGCTCAAGTTTGAACTGGGCAGTCCCACAATCAAGACGTTTCTTAGGTAGAATATAATGCAATCCTTATATTTTTGTGCTTGGTTTTTTACAAGCTTTTTTTGCTTATTAATGGTTAATGAAGAGCTATTTGGCTGATGTGCTTGTATTTTGTTTCTCTTTTCTTTTATGTAGAAGGTTTACCCGAGTTTCTCAAGAAGACTATAAAGTAAGTTGGCAAACTATCAACTCGATCTGATTTTGCAGTAGCCCCAATATGCCTTGAACTAATATGTATTCTGTTTTGCCTTGCAGACTTCAAAATTGCAATTAGAGTTTTTGGGCGACTACTTGGCCGAATTGAGTTTGTTGGATTACAGCTGCCTTAAATTCTTGCCTTCCTTGGTAGCTGCTGCCGTTATATTCCTTTCCAGGTTTACTCTTCAACCAAACCTGCATCCCTGGGTAAGGAAACCGTCTCAAATGTTTTTCTGATAAATACACATCTCAAAGGTTTACTCTTCAACCAAATGTTTGGATCTTCCTTATCACAGAACAAAGCACTCCAACAATATTCGGGATATAAACCATCTTCTTTGAAGGAATGCGTTATGATAATACATGACTTGCAATTAAGTAGAAGAGGAGGTGTTTTGATATCTGTAAGGGAGAAATACAAGCAACACAAGGTGTGCGTGTATGACAATACGTTATTTCTTATTCTTCTCTAAGTAGTTATATAGCAATGTTTTTTGATTACCCGGTGTTTTGTAACAGTTCAAGTGTGTATCAATGCTCTCATCCCCACCCGAGATACCAGATTCCTATTTCGAAGATGTGATTGTACAATGAGTGATTGTGTGACAACTTAGCTTAGGCGGTGAAGCTTCATTAACCCAGAGGTACAAATGTTTGTTCTAGCCTGTATATCACCCGATGCCTTATTGGTACGCAAGATTGGTGTATCTTGTATCTGTTTGAATTGCTGACTTAGACAAGTGTGTTTGCCCTTGCTGAATTAATGTAACTTTTGGAAAGTCCAGATTTTTTGGCTTGGAATTTTGGTGTAATGCAAATTTAGCGGATTTTACATAGAGGTTTGTTGATTTATGAATATGATGATAGTCAGATTGTGTATAACAGACTAACCATTGATGCTTGTAATTATCATTTTGAGAAAACTTCTGCCCTCTTGTTGGAGTTTCTTGCTTTGATATTTGGTTGGTTACTTCTAATAGCTGAGTTGTTTATAAATGAACCCTTTTAGTTGTATTTGTACCATTCTACCTCCCTAATGATGGTGGAGATCTACTAGGTCCTATAGCCAATCATTAATATCTAGAATCCTCTCTAAATCTCTATACAACTCTAAGGTTCTACAATATTTCATACACTTTTACAACTACTTGTGTTATTACTTATTATAATGAACATTTAGATAGAATCTTGATGAGCAATTAAGCAATAGTCAATGAAAATGGCTGGGGTTGGGTTGACATTTTCAAGGGACTTGGTGTTCACACTGTCTCAGCTCCTCAAAAACTTCCAAACCAAGCTTTCTCAATTGTCTTACATAAGGACAGAATAAGTCAAGATTGAAGAACAACAGCCATAAAGTGTACACTTATTAACCTGAATTTAGGCTAAAAGGTGAGCTTAGTTTAAGGACTAAAAGCTAGCTAGATGGCAAAAAGTGGATTGATGAAAAATCCTTAGTATATGAAGTTGGGTTTTACTTTTAAAAAGTCCAAGTTTGAGCTCTCTTAACAAAAAAATAATAAGTAACTTTATTTTCTTGATCAGTCGATATTAACTCCAAAAATCGAGCAACTAGATTAGAACCAATAAACCTTTCAATTGAGACACATCCAAAATCCAATAGTCTTTGAAAAATTGTATCAGACCTTCAATCAAATCATTTGCACCCTTATCATAGCCTATTGACGTATTAGCAAGAAAATTCACAGCTCTATTATGTTTTCGGTACACATGAACCATCTAAATTAAACCTTTTGTTTACGTGTTTAATAGTGATAAGATTTTAAATTAGTTGAAACTTAACGTGACTATCGAATATCCTGAGAAAATCAATCAGAACATTTGATCCACTATAAAGTTTGCCATGTCCACTAGGTCTCAACACTCTCCCCACCTTTTCCCCTTCTTCTAAACCGGCCGGCCACTACCCATCTCAACAAATCCATTCTGCTTTACTAACCCCTTCCCCTTTATCTCCCATTCTGGACCCCAAAAAATCTGCATTTATTTCCTTCATATTCCACCATTTCCTTTTCGCAGAAACAAAAGTACCAACCTCGTCTCAGTTCCATATAACTTCCTCAATATAACCTCTCTCTCTCTCTCTCTGGGCAGCAAAGAAAGATGAAGCTTGCATACAAGTTAATGGCGGCGTTAGTTTTTGTATCCTGGCTGGTGGTTTCAGCTGCAGAGAGCGACGCCGCAATGCTGGCTGTGGGGGAAAACGCGAAACCGACGACCCGTGGGAGAGTACCACACCGCCGTTATTCTCACCGCCGGCAACAGCAACATAAACGGCGACAGCAAGGTGGGATGAAACTACGGCGCCAGTCATCACCCAGCTCATCAGATGCGTTCTTGCCCAGCAAGAGGACTGTCCCAAACTCATCCGACCCTCTGCATAACCGGTGATCTGAACACTCATATCGCGGTTAAGTTTCCGGTTTTCCGGCCATCTTGATCGGACCGGCCAGGAGATAGATTAAAGAGAGAGGGTTGATACATCAATAATGTGAAAACAAAAAGTGTGTTGGGTTTTGAATGTTTTGTTCGGAAAAATTATCTTCTCGGTCGTGTGTATGAAGCTTTTACAGGTCCTATGATTATTGTATGAATATCAATATGATGATGAAGCCATGAAGATGATATTGAATTATATTTATTAATTGTTCTATTGAATTATGTTGCATTAGTATTACCAGTTAGTTTATTAACTATTCTGTTGAATTATGTTACACTAAGATTAGTAATTCGTTTATCAGCTCTATCTTTCAAATAGTTAGATTTGGTGCGTGTATATGTACAATATTTAGCAGTTCGTTTATCAACTGTTTCGAAGTTTAAACAATTAGAATATATATAGGTGGGTGTATATATATGTAGAATAGCAATAATTTGAGGTGATGATAGTTTGATGTTGTTAAGGATGATGTTACATGAAGAAATGAAAGAAAAAATCAAGATTTGGAGGTTGCTTTAGGGCATTCAAATTTCAACAGCCACATTGTCTCATACCAAATATTCCATACATAAATTGACAGATTTGAGTACTTTTGAGGAAAATTTCAGTTTTCTAGCTCTACTTTTTTCACTTTTCGACTTTGGCCACATTTTTTTTTTCTTTTTCTTTATTGTCCATCTGAAATAGTCATAACTAATTAAGTCTTTTTGTCAATTAGTGCTTCTTACTACATAATCTATAGACTTCTCTATATTGTTATAATCCTCAATATAAGATTAGCTGGTTATGGTTGGTAAAATTTATTTGAGAGGTTATAGTTAGAGTATTTTAAGCCACAAATAAATTATAAGCTATGTTTGATAAAATAGAGAGAACTTAAAATAAGCTAGTAGTTACTAATTTTTAAGTTATGTATACTAAACAGAGGCGCAGCCATAATAATAAAACCCAAATGCAAGTTCTAGATAAGTTTTTGCTGAGTTGGAGGGTAGCGGAAAACAAATAACAAAAAAAAATAATTTTTTTTAGGGTAACTGTTAGTTGGTAGATACTAGACACCTTGAGGCGTGCTCTGGCACACTCACACGTAACTCATTTTATTTTATTTGATTTATTATTATTATTATTATTATATATACCTTTTTTTGCCAAAAGCAACATAAATTCATATTTAATAGTAACGCTCCGCCATTTTCTCTCATCTCATCTTCACATGTGCAAAAACTTACTAAAAACTCATTAAAAAAATTAGTTGTGGTTACACTAAGGGTGTGTTTGGTTGGTGGATTTTACACATAGGAACGGGTATGAAAGTGATTGTTGTTGTTTGGTTGATAGGTTTTTAGAACACTACTATGGGTTTCGAATACCCCATCAATTGAAAAACTCATACCCAAATACAATAAGGGTTTCGTTCCCTTATTCATTTTCAAGCACTACTATTAGTAACCATTCCCATTCCACCCTACTATCAAACATGTTAAATACTTTCACCAAAACCCATTACCATTGCCAAGTATTTGATACCCATTCCGATTTCGATTCCTATGTGCGAACCAAACACACCCTAAATATATATAATATGCCTGGTTATACTAAATATTATTGGTACTAATGCATATGAAATGCTCTGTATGGTATAATAGTTTTAATAGTACATACTTTATATAATTAAAAATGATATACATGATTGTATTATATACTATCACATTATATATAAAAAAATCACTTATATTCATGAGAGTCTTGATTGCTAAAACTATTGTTTGATGTTTGACGGTTGTTTGATTGATTTTTTTTTTTTTTTAATATAAGAGAAAAGAAACACAAAACGATATGTTAAGCAAATGGAATAAAAGAAAAGATCAAAGTTGTAAGTGGTTAAATTCATGTCCCATCCGTGACAACATTTCCAAAACTAATAAAGATTAATTAGTTGGTAAGACTTTGTTACTTTTGTTCAAAAAAGAATTACTTTTAATTTTAACTATTACTCATCATTATTAGTGAGCAATACATAACATTCTCTTGAAGTCATAAATATTATTATATTTATAAATATAGACGATTTTTTAGACATCTCAATATGGGGACTTATATAACTAGACTCCTTTCATTTAAAGTTTAAATCGACGTGTTAAGAAAAATAGGATCAAGAGATCAAGAATAGAAAACGAAAAACGGAGAAGAAGAGTTTACGTGGTTCGGTCAAGAGTTTACGTCAATGAAAGAGAATAATTTTTTTATTATTAATTGTGATATAATAAAACATTCAGAATTACAAACATCATATTTATAAACAACTCTAACGGTACATTTACAAAATTACCCTTGTATTATATCACTATAGTGCTGTCCTCACACCCCTAACCCACTCAGCAAAACTGGTTCAGGTTCAAAACACTGAGACAAGTAATGTTGCCCCATTCCACTAACTCGCTATGCTCTAACAATTGTCTTCTTTCAGTGACATATGAAATATAAACAACGCGACGTATTAAAGACAATGATTTTTTAAGGGCAATACAACAAAAGTAATAGTGGAGCGCCAGAGATTTTCGTCCCAAACATGTTAGATTTAGGCATGCTCCACTAGATCTCTAATCTACTTATAATCTATTTGGCCATGTATTATCAATGTCATGGTAATTATAATTAAGTGGATTTAGCGTTGATTAAGTAGAGAGGCAGCTCCTGCTAATCCTGCTTATATATATTCTTAATCTTTTGAAAAGACAGCACGTCGAACAACGTTAATGATATCAAATGGATAAATAATGCTTGGTTGGTTATTATTGGATCATTAAAAAGTGGGTTTGAAAAGGGTGTTGCTATTTGCACCCCCTTTGACCAAAAGTAGATATAAAGTATTTTGAAGTTATAAAAAGGTGAAAACTTTTAATAATTAATAGGTGGTGTAAATAGCTAAATAAGGGTCATTTTGCTATTTGCACCACTTGGTCAAACCTCATTTATGATGTGTGATTAATAATATTTTAATTCAAACTCTAATTAATTAAAATATTAAATTAAAAAAAAAATTGAACCCCGTCACTGTTTTGCTTGTTTTTGTTTTTTTTGTTTTTTTTTTGTTTTTGATTTTTTAATGCTAATTATTTATGAAATATTTTTTTAAGTTTTTATTTTCAATACATATATTTTTAAGTTTCTATTGTCAATACATTTTTTTTGTTCAATATATATTTTTTGTTCAATACATATTTTTTCAAAGTTGCTAATTGTAATACATATATTTTTTTAAGTTTATAATTTCAATATATATATTTTTTAAGCAATTATTCAATATTGATGTTTGTGAGATGAAATTACTGGTAATTTGGATGGCAGAGAATACAAATTGGACTCATATGACTATATATATGTGTGGTGGCTCTATTTGGCAGAGCTTATTTTAAGCTACTAATAAGCTATAAACTATGTTTTGTAATGTTCATAAAATAAGCTTCTAGCTTAAAATAAGAGCTTATTTTGGAACGCTACTTTAGGTAGCGTTTCAAAATAAGTTCCTAGCTTCCTAACTTTTTTTCCATCTTTATCCTTATTATTTTAAAGAAATGACATAATTTACCCTTCTCAATTAAAACTTTTTTCTCTTCTCTTTTAATTTATCTGCAACTTTCACCGCAAATATTATAATTCAAATATCTTTTTACCAACCGTTGATATAATTCGCTGGTCAAATCCGCTAACGCTAACCGCTAACTGCTGATTGTCAAACAAGGATATCGTGACGTAGTTCTCACTTCAATTTGTTGTGTGATTTGAATACTTTCTTTGTCAACAAATCCCTCAAGTAGTTAATATGATTGGCTTTATTAATTATATTTTTTAAAATTTTTCATGGTATTAATAAAATACTTGGTAAATAAACATATAACATTACTTATATTATAACTTTGATATTTAATTAAAAAACAGTGCACAAAAAAAAGATAATAGACAATGTAGTGAATATAATCAATTAATAAATCTGAATGTAAAGAATTTTTACATTGGAGAAAAATAAAGACAATATAACTAATAAAATTATTTCTCTTAATTAATTTAAAGACAAAATGTTAAATTTTAATATGTAAACAGAGCCTATGTATCACACAATCTATAAGTCATGGATCATTAGATAGAAGATTTTTTTTTTTTTTTTTACAATAATCATAATCAAAGCCAGTTACTTAGTTACAATGATCAAAATCAAAGTCATAGACATTATGAGGTATTTTAAGTTGTTATTTGAATTGTTATTTATTTCTATGAGTGTTGCTATTTGTATTTTAAGCCAGTTTGTTCTTCCTTGCTAGGTAATTAGGACTCATTTAAATTAGATATAATTTCTCAATTGACTAAATAACAATCTCATTGTTCCATTTCAAGAGAGAAAATTATAGTATAAAGAGTACTGAATTTGTGATTTTATTTATTGGGTGACTTGTGAGTCTATCTATATACTGAATTAATTTAATTTGTTGTGAATAGAGTTGTAAATTAATCAATTTATTGTATTTACAGTAATACAATATAAAAAAGATAGGTAGAAAATCAATTTATTGAGTAATATTGAGTACATAGAGCAACATATACTACAAAGAATACACAATTGTAGGAAACTATTTTACAGAGACGGAAGAACGACCATAAATACAAAATTCAAAATAGAAAGAGTGTAGGAACACATGCAGTAGACTTATTTTATGATTAGAAGCCTTTGACCTCCACTTATTTTATGATTAGAATTTTAACTACATCAAAATTGTTAGAACTCTAACCCATATATCTTTATAAAATTGTTACAGTATTTACAGTATAAAAAGATAAGTAGAAAATCAATTTATATTTCAAAGTCTCAATAGAACTATAACCCACATATCTTTATAGAATTTTAACTACATTAAAATTGTTAGAACTCTAACCCACATATATCTTTATAAAAGATAGGTAGAAAATCAATTTATATTTATTTATTTCAAATATCACTAGTAATCATTTTATATTTCAATTTATAGTTAAATCAATTTAAAATAATATATACAACAAATTTGAGTTATAAAAAAATTAAAATAACAAAATTAATTATTATTTCTCTTTATTTAAAATTAAAACATAAACAAAAATAAGTATTGAAAATATAAACTTAAAAAAAGATGTATCGAACAAAAAAAAAGATGTATTGAAAATAGAAATTTAAAAAAAATATGTATTAAAAATAAAAATTTTAAAAAATATTGAACAAAATAATTATGCATTAAAACATAATAATAATAATAATAATAATAATAATAATAATAATAATAATAATAATAATAATAATAATAATAATAATAATAATAATAAAAAGAGATTGATTATTAAATAAAAATAAAAAATAAAGATTAATGTTTGACTACATTTAATGAGGTGGTGCAAAAAGCACTTTTTTATTTGCACCACCTATAAAGCTATTACACCTATTAAATAGGGGGGGTGTAAATAGCAAAATGGGTGGTGTAAATCTATTTGGCCATGTATTATCAATGTCATGGTAATTATAATTAAGTGGATTTAGCGTTGATTAAGTAGAGAGGCAGCTCCTGCTAATCCTGCTTATATATATTCTTAATCTTTTGAAAAGACAGCACGTCGAACAACGTTAATGATATCAAATGGATAAATAATGCTTGGTTGGTTATTATTGGATCATTAAAAAGTGGGTTTGAAAACCTTTGGGTCAGACTGGTCGCAAAAGCATGTAACCATAATAAGGTAGCATGGTAATTAGCAGTGTAATTAGTTGAGTAATAAGTACGTTTGTCTGATTGTCCTCCATCAGCTTTACAGCCGGATCTTAAAAGTGGAAACCAACTCCAATTGCTACTGTTGCACTAGAGTTTCAACTTTATAGTTTATCTCTCATAATTAGTCCATTTTTGTTAGCTAGGGTGTGATGGGAAGAACGATTAAAAAAATAGGATTTATATCGAGAAAAATCTTCAGTTATTATCTGATAGTGTGTATTTGGTAGATTGTATTAGGAATATCCTATGTAACGGGTCGTTCAAATCCATTTGGAAGATTATGAGTTCGAGCCTCAGTGGAGGTGTTATTGGTTCTTTGTGTTTCAGTAGGTTGAGAAAGTATATGAACAGATACTACAATGTAATAGAGCCAGTAACTTTCAAAAAAAGTATTAGGAATATCCTATGTAACGGGTCGTTCAAATAAAAAAATATTGACAAAAATCATACTCGTGATCTTTTGGTACCCATTTATCCATGTATTTCGTTGTGAAAATTTAATATTTTCAACTGGTACAAAAGTGATTGGGAATTTAAGATTTGAGGTTAAAACTTGAATTTTTGACTACCCTTTAGAACTCAAAAATTGTTCATTGGTAATATCGACCCCCTAGAAAGGTTGTCAGAAATTTTGGAGGGCTAAACTGATGGTAATCGAAACCAACAGGAGGGGTAAGGGTAAAAGGTGCAATTGGAAACCCAAAAATATAATCTCGGGTTTGGATAGTTCAAAAGTCATAGTTTCAGTCACATTAATCACAAATTTCAATCAGAGTGACAAAAGTTTGATCAGAATAGTGTGATTGGAGCTACACCCAATCATTATAATCTCATTGTCATTACTCTAATAGTTCAATTTTCACTACTCTTTTCGAATGCAGTCTTGAATTCTTGATTATTACAAATGAAAAAAAAATCAAAATTCTAGATACTCTAATAACAATAATTAGCTTTCTAAAGTTTGATATATAATAATTTTGAATTAAAATTTAAAATGGGATTACAACTTTATCTCAAAATCATTTTATCTCATGTGTGGATCCACCCTAAAGATTGCATTTTTGTCATTGATTTGTTGGCATGATAGAAGCATGAAAGAATTAGGAACCATCAAGTAAAAAGAGATAATAAAACTGGGTTGAAATCATGACACAAAAAATTTGAATTACTATAAAACAAAATCTAGGAAATAGTGATTTTTTTTTTTTAATTTTCTTTTTGGTATTTTGTTTAGAAACCAATGATATATAATAATCACGTTTAATTTTAACTACTTTAAATTGAAATTACAAAACCCAAGAAATTCTCCTAACAATTTTTGTTTGTCATTTATAAAATTTATATTTAACTTCAATTAATTATTGACTATTAATTAATCTAAAATAGTCCATTAAATTCTCCCAAAAAGTTAAATCTCAACTCTCTAAGGGTCTTCACATCTGACCCGACAGAGCATTTGGGAGGATGTAAGTCACGGTGATTCTATGGCTCAGCAGATATAGTCAAATGTCGGTGCACACAAGGAATTATTTGTCCATTTTGGAATTAATCTCCACAGTGTCGCTGTCATGATTTGAATCTTGATCTCTTCTCCCAAATACTACCTACTGAACCAGTGAGCTAAGACGGGGCAGGTAAAATGGTCCATTAACTTCCAAAATGGACGGACGAGTAGGTGGATCGCGATTACCATATCATAAAATGTCAACTATTACACAAGAATGTGATTTACTCAATGCATACTTTAAAGTTGTGACTGAAAATTTTTCTCATCACAAAAAAAAAAAAAAAAAAAAAAAAATCTCCAGGAGTAAGGTTTCTCCCGTGCACACCTTCAAATAGTTACTCTAGACTGAGGTTTACCTGATAATTGTAAGTTTTACCTAAGAGGGGTTATTAGGGGGATTTTTTTAAAGAAAAATATTACATGTACTCTCACTTCTTACTCTATCTCGCAAATCTTTGAGGTAGATAATTTGTCTGGGACCTATATTATAAAAATATCCATCCTTGTTTGCAATTAAAAGTGGAGGAGTAGAATTTGAGAGTGTAGAATTTTTTTTTGGAAGAAAAAGTTAGAGGGGAATTTTTGAACGGGTGGGGGTGAGTTTTTTGTCAATATTTTCTCCTACAAAATCAATATTTTTGTGAGACCCATTGAATAGGAAAAAAACAAAATTGAACAAGCTCATGCACCTGCCACTCCCAGCAACATGTACCATCAAAACTTCTTTTTTAATTACTTTTTCTTTTTGTTAGATTTTTTCTTCCCCTCTTTGCTACCAAAAATCTTAAACTGAGGTTGCTTTAGTGTACTAAATTGAGTAAAAGTTACATTTTTGATGGATGATTGCCTGATTGGTAGTGGAAAAAAAATACTTGAACGACTATTTTATACTCTGAAATACAGAGTATTTGTAGAAGAAACTGAGATTCTGTACTGACTGCAGATTGGCTTATCAAGCAGATTACAGATGCGCCGTATACACACAACAGCATAGGGAATATGAGTTTGTGGGTTTAATGATTCCATTTCTGGTATTATACAGTCTTTCCTTCATCCTCAATCAAATCACTTTCTTTTTTCACTTTAGCCTCTCACTTTTCCTAATTTTGCACTTCACACCCTTAGGCCGCGTTTGGGAACGACGAATCCATCAACTACGCACAACTCCAGTTTCAGCTACGTATCCATCAATTTTTCCTTTTTTTCTGTTGGTTTATTGTTTAGTGATAGAAGATTCGTAATATGCAGTACAAGTGTTTGATAAAATGTCTGTGGGAAAAAAAAACAAGGTGGTAGGTTTTTCTTGAATTAGTAGCGTACTGGATACTTATGGTTGGTTCATTCTTTTCTTCTTTTCCCCCCTTTTTAGTTATAGCTTTATCATACACCATTGTTTCTGGTGGGTAAAGATGAAGGTTGAAAAGCTTAATTCTTGAATTTCTTTTTTCAAAGTCAATCAATTTGTTGATAAATAGAAGAATCACGGTACTGAGTATGTGAAAGTTATGTCCTGTTTGAGGATTAACAATCTAGCTTGGTTAAGAACATGTTTGCCCCTTTGACTCTAAATGAAAACTATGTGATTAATCAATCAGTTGTGTTCTATAGTAGATATATTGTTTCTGTTTGAGAGAATGGAAGTTTTCCTTTTTCATTCATATATTATTTCTGTTCTTTGAGAGAATGAAAGTTGTATCTTTACGTTTGTTTGAAGTTGGAAGAAGCCAGTCTCCAGGAAACACTGACAATTGCATACTTCCATTAGCACTAGATTCCTACCATCTAGACTGGGAAAGTATAATTTATGGAACATGAAATGATAAAAACGTGTTTAGACTGGGTCTTTATTTTCAACGTTTTCTTTGTTTATAATTTTCCATAAAATTTCTGCACCATTAGTCAATAGAGAAAAAAAGAGTTAGTAATAGGTTTGATGCTGATCATAATCTTCAGAGTTGAATACTTGTCATGTCACATGTGGAGTGAGACGCCCTCCTCAGTAAGAAAAATACAAGATGGTGGCTTTTAAAAATTGACCTGATTACTCTCTTCTTCTTTGGTTTTCTCCGTTCTTAGCTCAAAGATTCTCTCTCAGGGTTATGAACATGGAGGAGCAATACTACTATTATACTGCAATTCTACTGTCTTTTTTCCTCATCATATTGTCAAAATTATTTTCCCATAAAAAGAAAAATTTACCACCAAGTCCACTTGCGTTACCAATTGTTGGCCACTTTCATCTTATCAAAAACTCACTCAATCAAACACTTGTCTCACTATCAGCTAAGTATGGTCCAGTTCTTTATCTCCGGTTTGGTTGCCAGTCCTTTCTTGTCATATCTTCGCCTTCTGCAGTTGAAGAATGCCTCACCAAGAACGATATTGTATTTGCAAGCCGGCCTCAGGTCATGGCTGGAGACATGTTCAGCTTCAACTATTCTAGTATCGTGTGGGCACCATATGGCCAGGTTTGGAGGCTTCTGCGCCGTTTTGCTGCTATTGAGCTATTTTCCACAATTAACCTGCAAAGTTCTTCCATCATCCGAGAAGAAGAGGTTCGAATTCTTATCCGCTCGTTGTTCAGAGTCTCCAAGAGCGGAAGCTCAATAGTGGATGTGAAAAATTGGGTGTCTATTTTTGCTTACAATACTATAATGAGACTTGTGAGTGGTGAAAGGCTTGTGAATGAAGAAGATGCAGGGGGAACCAAGGGGAAGGAAATCATTAAAGAACTCAGAAAGATTTTCTTCCCAGATATACCGTTCTTCAATGTGTGTGACTTCTTCCCAGTGTTGAGGTGGTTTGGTTACAAAGGGATTCAGAAAAAGATGGTGTTACTGCAGAAGGAGAGGATCAAATTCTCGAGTGGCTTATTAGATGAATTTCAACAGAAGGAAATCTATTCTTCCGATCCGAGTATTATTCAGGTGAATAACAGGAAGAAGGCAACACCAATCATGCAAACTCTACTTTCTCTCCAAAAATTGGAGCCTGAATTCTATACAGACGATATTATCAAAAGCTTTCTACTGGTAAAAACATTCTAAACTCTTTTCTCTTTTCTATTTTTTGTTTTTGTTTATCCTAAAATTTTGAGCTCTAAAATTAACAAATCCTTAGTGTTGTAATAAAATATTTTAAGCTGATTGTCACATCTTCAAATATTGGATTAAGTAAGCTTGAAGTCATTTTCTTTGCAATTAAATTATGATTTTTGTATTTGAGCCAATGACTGACTGACAGGTGGGGGGGTTGGTTCTATCATGTCCATAAACAACTTGAAGAGCAAAGCCAGAAATGTCAAATATATTACACATGTCAAAATTGACCTCTTGAAAGTAGTATTGGCTAATCCTTTGGAGAGAGGTGTAAGCTTATCAAGTGGGCCATGCATTGCATCATTAAACATTTTAAAAACTAACATGGAAAACACGTTTACTATGTTTAATTTACCTGTTCAATTAGTCAACCAGAGAATATGCTTTCTAGACTCTAAATTTCATAGTAGCAACTAACCAGAGAATAATAAACAGAAGAAAATGAGGTATAAATATGTCACCCTGATTTTAGAACTGGATACTGAAAACCAAAAATCTTATGTGAAGGAACTTTGTGTTTGAGTAGATGATCCTAAGATTTTGGTCTAATGAAGTTAAAGCAAATTTGTGTTTCAGGTGATGTTTATTGCAGGGACAGAGACAACAGTAGCGACTATCGGATGCGCAATGACACTTCTCTTGGCTCACCCGGAGGTAATGCACAAACTCAGATCCGAGATTGACAGCAAGGTAGGACACACAAGGTTGGTAAATGAGTCCGATCTTCCCACACTTCCCTATTTGCGTTGTGTTGTGAACGAGACACTAAGGTTCAACCCTCCTGTACCACTTCTGTTACCTCACTATTCATCTGAAGACTCTGTAGTTGGGGGCTACGACATTCCCAAAAACACGACCTTAATGATCAATGTTCGCGCTGTGCATCAAGATCCCAAGGCATGGGAAGAGCCGGAGAAGTTCAAGCCAGAGAGATTTGAAACAATGGAAGGTGAAAAAGATGGATTCGGCTACAAATTTGTTCCATTTGGACTGGGGAGAAGAGCTTGCCCGGGAAACAACATGGGGTTGAGAGCAATTTCACTGGCATTGGGTGCAATTGTCCAGGTTTTCGACTGGGAAAACGTTGGAAAGGACAAAATGGACGTTGGCTCCTTGGAACCGGTCTGCACTCCACGCCAAGATTGCATCCCACTTCTCTCCCAGCTCTAAAACCTCGTTACAACTCAACTTTTTGAGTCATCTTATGTGTTATAAAGTAATGAAATAAATACCTCCCCATCCTATCTGGTCGGGATGAGGGACCCTGGACGATAGATTTTGTCTTTTGTTTGCATGTAATGAAATAAATAAGGTAGAAATGTGTGTAGTTAGTAGTTACTACATGCAGTGAACAAATTCAATATTTATTTACATATGCATATATGAACATCTCCGATATATTTCCATGCGAGTAAAAGAATTAGTATATACTATATAAGAACTCAACATATATCCATTATCGTGCCTCCAATCCTCCTCTCCTGATTGGCTCGCGACTCCAATAATACTTTATGGACTAAAAATCTACTGTAAAATAATACAGTAACATTTAATTATTTCTATAAATACTTTCCTATAATTCATCTCCGTTACCATTATTTTCGGTGAATTCTGAAAATGGGCGATAAAATCGAAGAGCAAACGCATGAAGTAGAAGCAAAGCATCATCAGTCAGAGACCGATACCTCAACGATGACAATGTCGGAAATCGAGACACCTCAGGATCAGGGAAAACCCTCATTGGGATCTCCGAAAAAGCCCGACAGTTTCTCCTTCAGCATCTGGCCGCCGATTCAGAAAACCCGCGACGCCGTGATCGAGCGCCTCATCGAGACGCTGTCATCGCCGTCGATTTTGTCCAAGCGTTACGGCACTATTCCCCGCGAGGAGGCTTCCGAGATCGCTAAGCGTATCGAAGAGGAGGCGTTCAACGCCGCCGGAGCGAACGACGGCGGCGGCGATGGAATCGAGATCCTCCAGGTCTACTCCAAGGAGGTGAGCCAGCGGATGCTCGAAGCCATCAAGTCCAGATTCGCCGGCGCGCCGGCGCCGGAGAGTGTGCCGGCGCCGGAGAGTGTGCCGCCGCCGCAGGAGGGCGAGAAGCTCTACGCTCGCCTTGAAATGGTGGCCCCTGAGGATGCGCCTTGAAATGCGGATTGAGGTTTCTAGAGACATTATATATATATATATATATATATGTTTGCAGTTGGAACATTATTGGAGTTCAGTTAATTGAAAATGCTCGTTTCATGATGCTCTGATAATTTGAGATCTAGTCGTGTTGTCTTTGGATTTACAACACTGCTTATAATAATATTCAGTCTTTATTAAACTTATCCCTCTCAGTTTTTTATGTTTGTTTTGATCCTGCACTTATCTTTTCATTTTGTCTCTTAGCATCTATCCAATGTGAGATTGTTTGATCCTTAAAGTTCCCATTTCTCGTTGTTTCATTGTGGGTTTTGTACCACTATCTGTTTATGAGCATATCATTACCTTGCATCTGAATAGAGCATTGAAATTACAGATTCCACTGACTACACATTTTTTTGAACAAAGAAAGCAGTTAAATCTATGAACATGGCCCTAGTTTGAATATGTTTAAGCAAAATCTCAGATCCGGGGAGTGTTTTGAAGAGAACTTTGGAATGCATCTATTGATGATTTATGAAAGTTTTACTAAGTTTGAATAATGTCAACTAGATGCATCGATTTTCATGATCCTAGAAGCTAAAAGTGAGAAACTTTATGCTTGACTGGATTTCTAATATCAATTGTACATGTCTGCTTTGTCCAGGAACCAAATTTGCTGCATTTCTTGACTTGCAACTAATCCTACTTGCTTTTATGGTTTTTAGCCACCTACTCTTGCTTTCACTCTGATATCTAGTGATGAGTAGTTTTGAGAAAATCATTTTGTGTTTTTGGTGATTTGAGATTTGAGACCATTGCTGTGGGTAAAGCTAGTAACTTTCCTCTATTTCCTCCCTCATCTTATTCTCGCAAATTTCCTTCTCTTCTCCTATTCCCAGTTTGAGACAGCATATGTATGTATTTCTACTATGTTGGATAATAATAAAATGGCTATTGCTTTGTGATATTTCTTTGCAAGCTACTGCAAGGTGGAAATAACACCATGGCATACCCAGTAACAGAAATTTGTCTAAGTTTTATCAAAGATGGCAATTTGATCTTGATCTGATGCAGGCATTTCATTAGTCTGGGCTACAAGAACTTCCACAGCTTCTTCCCTAGCTCACATAGACCTGTATGATACCTGTAATCTTTTTCTCCATACTTCAAAGGGCTTTGATTCACACCAATCAACACTCCTATTTCCTTCCAAAGATTCAGTAGATTGACTCTTTTGCTGAGCAAACGGCAATGCATTTGCAAGAGGAGATGGAGGAGTAGGATGCCAGACTAACCGGCTTCTGCACGTAAGGAGTATTGGTTAAGGTCTTCCAATGAGCCTTCTGGTTTCTAGTGAGATTTGAACCCACACACTGCCACTATAGTAAGACTTTAGGGTGATCGTCGGGCCAATTGAGCTAGCGTGGCAGGCTTATAGTGGTTGGTTTTATAGTATGAGTCCAAGGTTTTATACTATGTCTAACCAACAAATTTTTTTTTTTTTTCATATCTTAGCCAATGAACGAACTCTTGATCTTTAGTTAAAGATGGTTGAGTCCCTCCCACTCAACCATACCACATATCAGCCCTAATAACCAACAATAGGGGTTGTGTTGCTAGATTACACTTAAATTATCCTTAATCAATCCCAAGATTTATCCTTTTACTTGTATATTGTTCCCCCAAACATCTTCTTCAACAATTCATTCAGTTCTCACTTGAGACACAATTCCATCAACCATAAAGTGTTTGTTATAGTAAAATAGAGTAAAAAAAAAAAACATTACCCATTATGAATTCTACGTTACAGACCCTTCTCATTTAACTGTCATAACTGAACTGCTACTTGTAGAACCTCCCTAAAAACATGATTTTCACGGCCTAGAATTCATTATAGAAATTAGTAAATTTTTTTTTTTTTTTTTGGTTGGACTGATTTTCTTTTCTCTTCTCTCTCTAGTCTGTATATTTCTGCAAAATTATCCGGCGAAATTCTACAGACGAAGGTGAAACTGATCCGAGACTGTCAATTTTAGAACCCCAGTGTTCAATCTTGCCGGTGCCAAATGCCGATACGCTGCGCCGCCGCATTTTGAATTGCTTCATCAGCCTGCGTACAGAGGCCGTTGTGTTCAACCCCGGACATGTAGTTCCTCACTTCTTTCCTTATCATCTCCTGCAGCTCTGCTAAGAACTCCGGGCTGAAGAAAGGCTTCTCCGCCGTTTGCGGCGGCGGTGGAGCGGCGAACTGGAAGCTCTGAGGCGGCTGTGGGGGTAAATAAACTTTTGCAGGCGGAGACACCTGGGGAAGCTGGGGAATAGGGAGGAGATGATTGCGTCGGTTTATCAACGGTGGAGCTTCGTTGGATCCGGGCAAAGAGAGACTCAGAGAGGTAACCGGGTCGGACGACAACGACGGCGGCGTTTCCATCGTCGGAAAATGAGGAGGGAGCGGGAGCGGGAGTTTCCCGCCGCCGGTTCTGGCGATGGGGTTATAGATATCGCTAAAATCGGAGTCGGAAGGGCTGAGATGAAGACCGGACATGTTCACCCCGAGGCCGTCGCTAGAAGATCTCTTGAGCGGCAGCCCACGCGGCGGCGGCGGCTCAAAGCTCAAGTTTTCCGACGACACGGAACCGCACTTGCGTTTCAGAGTAGAATTCCAGTGATTCTTAATGGCGTTATCCGTCCGGCCACTAAGCAACCGGGCTATGGTGGCCCACTTATTCCCGAACTTCGCATGCGCCCGGATGATCGTCTCATCCTCCTCCGCCGTAAACGGCCGGTGCTCCACTTCCGGCGAAAGCTGATTACACCACCGGAGCCGGCACGACTTCCCAGACCGTCCCGGAATAGAATTCCCGATGAGCGACCAGTTCCTCGGCCCGTACTTCTCCACCAACCTCTCCAACATCTCATCCTCTTCTGGACTCCAGGGACCCTTAATCCTATCCGCCGCCGCCTCCTTTTTCTCCTCCATAAACTCGCGACCAAAGAAGAAGAAAAAAGAAACCGAGAAAATTATATTATGCGGTGAAGCGTCTGAGAAGAGAGAAGATATAAGAAGGGGAAGACAGGAACGGCGGCCGGTTGACAGTTACGAGTTGAGTTGGCATGGGACACGCGTCGAGCTGTGAAATCTGGGAGGACACCTACGAATCACACGTTGCTAAAATCCCGGGGATTAGAAAGTGGATTATGGTGGAGTTACCCTAAATTAATTACACTTTACAAATTCTAAACCCACCGACCGTTTTGGAAGTTAGTAATTATTGGATAGTGTTTTTGAAATTGAAGTTCACGGTTGGAGTTGGATGGGGAGTTTGACTCAGACAGCCTGGACACCATATTCATCCATGCAAAAACAACCACTTTTCTTTTTCTTTGTTTATCTTTCTCATAAAATATCTTTGAGAAAAATTCAGAACTCATGCAGTTGAGTCTGGAAGGTACTAATGGAGAAATGGGGCATAGATTAGAGAGCGATTGGAGTCTAGAGATAGGGGTTTGGGGTAGCAATTAAGGGCTCAAAGACTAAAATGGGAAGGAAATACAATTTGTTGATAAAAAAGGGAAATTTTTAAAACGGGGATAAAATTAGGAAAAGATCATTGAGACATGCATTTTTGATGCGATTGGAGTCTAGAGATAGGGGTTTGGGGTAGCAATTAAGGGCTCAAAGACTAAAATGGGAAGGAAATACAATTTGTTGATAAAAAAGGGAAATTTTTAAAAGGGGGATAAAATTAGGAAAAGATCATTGAGACATGTATTTTTTATCAAAAATGCATGTCCCATGTGTGTTTGAGTTTTATTTCTTTTTTTCGAAAATAACCACAGACGCAAGTGGTATTATATCAGAGACGCAAGTTCTAAGTCTCTGACTATATAATACTACAGACGCAAAGCTCAGACGACCTTTGGCAAAAAACCCAACGGAGAAAGAGGAGTCGTCGTACTGTATCCCGTAAACGCAGGTGGAGGAGGAGGAGCCGGGGTCGTTTCCAGTGGCGGAGGTGAGGTCGGAGCAGGCGGTGGCGAAGCAGGTTATGTTGGAATATGTGGTGGATAGCTTGGGGTCGAAGATACGTTTTTGATGTGAGTAGCAGGGTTTGGCACAGGGCTAGCACGGAGTCCAGGTGAGGTCGGAGTCGGTGTCGAAGACAAGGGTGAGGGTGTTCTTGGGGGTGCCGAGGCCGACGGTGACGATATAGTTGTCGGTGCCGAGGGTGGTGCCGGACTTGGCCAGAACGGTAGCTTTGGAATCTGGGATTTTCTTCTTGCGTACTCCACTCACGACGTTAAGGTTATCGATCCTGGCAGAGTTGACTCGCGACTCGTCTCTGGTATAATACCACCGTCTTGCGTTTGTGGTTAATTTTGGAAAAAAAAAAATAAAGTTCAAATGCATGTGACAAGAAACGCATGTCCCAAATGCTCTTTTCCTAATCTTGTCCACTTTTCAAAAGTTTTCCAATTTTGTCAACAAATTGTATTTCCTTCTCATTTCAGTCTTTGACCCAGCTATTGGGACCAAGGGATAAAGGTTGAGAGTAGAACGCAACTAGGTAGGATTGAAGTCGAGACGACCCAGTGTAACTCCTGCAAACGTCGTGCAACCTTTGTGCAAGTTGTGTGCTCGTGTGAGGCCTCGCGTGGTTCCACGCACAACTGACGCAAAGCACGTGCTTTGCCCCATCTAGTGGAGAGTTGCTTGTCATATCTCACGCCTCAGAGCTTTTGACAAGGTATGGCTTATAAAAGATCATTGTAATTTCATTTCCAAATCATTTCATTTTAAAGTACAATATTTAAATAATTAAAAGTCTTTGTAACCTCTGCCGATTGAAGTATAATTTCAAGAGGCCGAAAAGATATGAGTTACTTGACATCTTATTAGTAAATCTATGTTCTTGTCATTCCTTCGCAATATAATTTCATCAGTTCGTAGTGAGCCTAAGCAAATAATAATAATAATAATAATAATAATAATAATAATAATAATAAATAAATAAATAAACAAATAAAAATTTTAAAATATTATTTAAGCAAGTAATAATGATATCTAATTTTTATTTTGTTTTGTTATTTTAATAGTGATTTTCAATAATATTGGTCAGAATTGAACACCTTTATTTTGGCAGTGAAAGAACCGTGTTTGGAAATGACATCAACTTTAAACAGCTGCAAAGTCCACCAAACCCATACAACTTTTTAACCTTTGAGTTCTTATATGATGTCTTATTGGACTTATATCATTCAACCCAAAAAAAAAAAAAAAAAAAGTGATATGCATTAGTTAAATCTACTTTTTTTTCTTTTTCTTTTTTTTTTTTTTTTAAAGGGGTTCATAAAACCAACTTATCTACATAGTCCACATCAAAGTTTGAAAAATAAAATTATTTGTACTCTCATCTCATTTAACACCAAAAGAAAAGAAATAAAGAAAGACTTTGTTTACTATCTCATAATTTTGTTCTCTCATTTGATGTGAAATTGGAATATAAACAATACTTTTATTAATTTTGTAAGCTTGGAATGTATACAACTATACACTACATATGTATTCTTTGGAATAAAAGTGATGAAGGGATATTATATAAGGAGGCAATAGGTGTTTTAATTTATTACTGGTGATTGATGGGTTCTTAATACAAGTGAGCTCGGAGACTATAGTGCTCGTGAAGTATATATTGCAGCCTCAAAAGTTTGATTCCCTTATTGGTTTGGCAAATGCCTTTATTTATAGTGTTGGAATAGAAACACATGCTGGTTCTTCTATCAACAGGTCTGATGTGACAGATCGACACTTGTGGTTCAAGTCAATCACGACCTATGCTGACCCTGATGGCTTGATGTGACATCCATAGTAGTAGTGACAAAAATCACTTTTCTTGTCGCTCCCGCCTGAACTTGGTAATTGTCTCTCAACTACCTCAGTGACTGAGATACGCCTAAATCTGGCTACTCTCTTAGTCATATATGGTACTAGTAAACTCGCTACATATCTCCATCGCTCGGTATTGATGTGGAATGCTAGGTTCGATTATCGTATAACATATTAAAAACAAAATGTCCACAACAATTATATTTTTTTAAAAAATAGAAGTACTATATTTTGGTAGTAGAGAATGATGCAAGAGTTTGTTTAATTTAGGTTTGAGGCAGTAAATTGAGTAGTGGACGGTGGTGATGATAGGTTGTTTGTAATGGATCAGTTGGTAGGTACCAAGTAGTGGTTGGCTAAATGGTGCAGAAGCAGGTGAATGCAGTGGTTAGTAGTTAGCAGCTTTCTTTAGTATTTGCATATAAATAGTAATTCATTTGGTATTTTAGGTGTTCACATTCTTAATTTAGTAGGATAGTTTGTTATTCTAATAACTTCCTAAGCATTTAATTAACTAATAAGGGTAACTTAATGTGGGGATAACCAATTCATTAATAATCCCTAAATACCCATCGAGGTATAGGTGAGAAGTCATGGGTCTCTAAGAGCAACCCCATCAGTATATAATATGGGAATAATGTCACAATCAAAGTCATGTGGAAGGGAGAGAAGTAAGAAAGAGAAAAATGTGAAGTTTCTGCAAATGTGGAGAGAATTCTGAAATATGAGGCCCACCTTTTCTTTGTCCATGCGTGACAGCCATGCGTGGCTGTCACCATTGTGTCGAGAGGCGCGCCTGACAGTAATTAAAGTATTATTATTATTTTTTTAAATTCAGTTTTTTTTTTCATTTTTTTCTCTCCCCTCCCATCTCCTCTTTCCTAAGCACTCTTACATTCTCCCCATAATGATCCTCTAACTCTCTTTCATCTTAGTTAGAGCCCAATTAATACCGTAAAACTTTTTCTGTTTTTGTTAACTTTGTAGTCGAGCGACATAATTGTGACCCTTCAAATGAGAAGTCTCAAGTTCAAACTTTAGTGTGAGGATAAATATTGACTTTTTGTGCTTCAATATGTTGAGAAAGTATGTATAAATAGATATTAAATTGTAATAAAGTGAATAGTACTAAAAAAATAAAAAAATAAAAAAATCTAATACTTGATCATTGACATACAGTGATAAATGGGCCGTTCCTTTGGGTTGTGATGGGCTAGTAAATTTGAACTGAGCAAACTTCTACTAATTTTACCCAAATTTTGTTCATTAGTAATTTGTATAATGGATCAATGTTCTACTGGGCCTCCACTTACATACAAGCCCACACAAAACATTATGACAAAGTATACCATATATCATAGTCCATATTGTAAGGTAGAGCAAATTATTTTGTAGATCTAGGTTCACCTTATAAGGTGGATTCAAATCTAAAGATACACAATTAAATATTAGGAATAAGGGTCAAATAGGCCATCGAACTGCACACGATAATGCAATTAGGTCATCGAACTTAAAAAACTAACAATTAGGTCCCTAAACTAACCAATTTCAAACAATTCTTCCAATTTGAAGATTTCTAACAAACAAGTCATCCTCTCAAATTAATTATTTTTTAAAAAATAAATTTTAAAAAATAATTGTTTTTAAATTTAAAAAAAAAAAAAAAAAAGACTCCGGCCGGAGACGGGGGGCTGTTTTTTTTTTTTTTTTTTTTTAATTTAAATAATTAATTTTAAAAATTTATTTTTTAAAAAATAATTTATTTGGAAGGATGACCTGTTAGAAACCTTCAAATTGGAAGAATTGTTTGAAATTGGTTAGTTTAGGGACCCAATTGTTGGCTTTTTAGATTCAGTGGCCTAATTGAATTATTGTGTGCAGTTGGATGACATATTTGACCCTTATTCCTAAATATTAAATGTCCATAATTTACCCTTTAAAAATTTACAATTTGTGATGACTCTGTATTGTATTCACAAATTCTCAAAACATAGAAACACAATATATATAATCTAGATGTTCACAATTCCAATACTAAAAATACATAATTAGGATTACAGGTGGGAGGGTCCATGGTATAACAAGTGCCCAACTGGTAAGGTAGACCACTGATAGATGTTATTTTTTATGTATTGAAGATTTATTGTTAATATATTATAAGTTATTTTAAGTGAAATAACTCATTTAAAAAAGAAGAGAAGAATAACTAATCGGTGCCTAGGAGGTCTAGGCGGTCAACGCTTAGGCGGTCTAGTCGGCCGCCTAGACCACCAGTTACGGTGATACGCTAGGCGGCTAGCAGGCGCCTAGTTACGGTGATACGCTAGGCGGCCGGCAGGCGCCTAGGCGCCGATTAATCAGTGTCTATGCGAGATTTTTTTCAACACTGACTGCAGTAGTAAGTTTGTTAACCATGTCATCATATAAAAAGCAAATATTTTTCAATATGTCACATCATCTAGCAAAGAGGAAGACTCGTTGGGATAAGAATAACATTTAGTCTTTTAGGAGTTCAGAAAATCAAATCAGATTTTTAAAGGCAATTTGAATTAATAAATAATTGTTTTATAAATAAAGACCTATTTGGTTAGTAGGTGGGAACTTATGTCAGTATTATAATTTTAATTCTAATTGTTAATTGTCAACTTGGTCGTTTGTTTGTCAAAGTTGAGTTAACTACAAAGTCTTGGATATTTATTTATATATATCATCTTGCTATATTGTAGCATCAATTGTGGAATAAAAAACAACTTATTTTACATTTTTTGTTGAAAGCTATTTTACATTATTATATTATATAATAAGTTAAATATGAGCCCCTAAAATAACTAATTCATTCTTATTTACACAAGATAAAATTTATCGTAACAAAATTATTAACATTTCAATCGATATTAAGTAAAAGGATAAGTGTCTGATACGCGTATATCATAAGAGGAATGAAACTCTAACATTGCGACTATTACAAATACGCACTTTATAGATATTTTTGATTTGATATGATGAAGTGTGACAAGTAAGGTTCAACAACTGGGTGATATTTTGGTCAAGAAAGTAGAAACTATCATTAATTACCTCAAAAAGACGGTAGACTATTAGGACACGTGACTTAAACATTTCATACGTGGAGTTTAATGATGTTTTTTTCAAGAATCCCGATCTCTAAGGAATCCATCCGCCATTGAAAATGGCGTTGCGCAATACGACATTGGCGTCAGTCGACTTGGAAAGACAAGCTGCCAAAAGTAAACCCAACTACCATCTCAAACCCTCCTCAACTTTCGTCGCAAAAGCGATGTTTGCTATTCTGTGTTTCTTCCTTCTGGGTTGCGCTAGATTCGCCAAGCCCGCAGATCTCGGCGGCAATGGCGGCGGCGTCCCGTATTTCTCGCAGCCCGGCAGCGTTTTCCTGCTGGCGGGGCAGAGCAACATGGCGGGGCGGGGCGGGGTGGTTAACGACGTGTGGGATGGGTACGTGCCGCCGGAGTGCCAGCCGAGCGCGACGGTGCTCCGCCTCAGTCCGGGGCTGATTTGGGAGGCGGCGAAGGAGCCGCTGCACTTGGGGATAGATATTAACAAGACGGTGGGGATTGGGCCGGGGATGTCGTTTGCGCATACGGTGTTGACGAAGGATCCGGGGCTTGGGGTGATCGGGCTGGTGCCCTGCGCCGCCGGGGGGACGAATATCAGCGAGTGGGGCCGCGGCGGCCACCTCTACACGCGGCTGATTCGGCGGGGCGAGGCCGCGGCCCGCGGCGGCGCGACGATTCAGGCGCTACTTTGGTACCAGGGAGAGACTGACACTGTGAATCTTGAGGATGCCAAGAAGTATAGAAGTAGACTCCGGAGATTCTTCAACCATGTCCGCACTGATCTGGAATTGCCCACTCTTCCTATCATTCAGGTACTTTACTTTGATCCTATAGAAAAGATTCTTCTTTTTTTCTCTTTGATTTCAACTATCTAGACTCAACTATAAGCTCAGATTCCCATGTGCACATAGTTTAATCTCATTGGTTTTTTGATTCAACCATTGAATGATTTAAAAATATTTGTTACAAGTTGGACTCAAATGGGAGTGGCATATTTGCCGAGCTAGTCAGCTATGAACAATTTAAATTTAATCTCTTTACCTGCTTGTGGTTCATAGCTAGTTAGGGTCACAAGACAGGTTTATTCATGCATACACTCGGATAATGGCTGCAGATTTGTCTGTTTAGGATTTCATAAGCTACACTAATCTTATCCAAAAAATTGAAATTTTGCCCTTGGAGAAAGGTGGATTAAGCTCTTTGGTGAAACGAAACATATAATTCAATTTAGTATCAGAGTGAGGGTGGTTGGGGGTTTGATTATAGATGATCATGAGAGGGGGGTGAACCTATCCTTGTCTTGATGGACAATTCAAGACCCTACCATTTTTTAATTAGCAAAACACACCTTGTTGGAACATGGGCTGCTGGATAGATAGGTCCAACTCTTGATTCAATGATTCATATCTCTATAATCATTTCAAGAACTTATCATATGGATCTAGCCAGCAGAAAAATCAAACTCAAACTGCATTTACCTTTCAGCTCTTACTAACATTATGCATAATGGGATAACACCTTGTGGATTGATTGATTGTTTTAGGTGGCTTTGGCAACACAACAAGGACCATACATAGATGAAGTGAGGGATGCTCAGTTCCATGTGGATCTTCCCAATGTGAAAACCGTGGACGCCAAGGGGCTGCAGGCAGGCCCCGATTATCTACACCTCACCACCGCATCTCAGGTCCAGCTCGGGCAGATGTTAGGCGACGCCTTCCTGGAGAGAATGCCTCTCCGCCTCCAAACGAGCAGCGCCTCGAGGAGACACCACAGTTTTGTTTCTGGCTTTCTTTGCAGGCCATTTAGGTGAGTTGGACAACACAAGAAGCAATATATGTGACTAAGTTATCTGTCACAAACAAAACTCAATCTTTTGTCTTGGGGAATTGGGTGTTTTCCCTTTTGTTGTATAATTCTTTCCCCCTTGGCATCTCACTTATGGATAAAGAAGCATATTAATGACAAATTACTTGATACATTTTTTCATTACCATTCCTCTTTATGTTCAATGCACATCTCTGCAGATATTAGTGATAACAATCCAAGAAAGTAGTTTAACACATTCATTCCATTCTTCCATTTCGCTTAATATAATGGAAAGCTGAATTGAATCAAGAAAAAATCTTGATGCTATATATAACAGAGACAATGGTAATAAGTCTAAAGCAATTTGGTATCATAGCTTTTACTCCATTAGAAGAAGATGGAGATGATGGGTAAGAAGAAGAAGTGGCAAATGAAGAACGAAAGCGCGATGGCGTTATTGACGGTGTTGCTGCTGATATTGTACTTTTGGAGGACGATGATTCCCGCCGGAGAAATGATGATGGAGGCGGAGAAGAAGAAGGAGGAGGTGGCGAAGCAGATAATAGTGCTGGCGGGGCAGAGCAACATGGCGGGGCGGGGAGGGGTGGTGGCGAGGATGGTGGACGGGGAGAGGATCAGGATATGGGACGGGAGGGTGCCGGCGGAGAGCCACCGGAATCCGGCGGTGTTCCGGTTCAGCGAGCATTTCGAGTGGGAGTTAGCGCAGGAGCCGCTTCACCAGGGGATCTACTGCAACAAAACGTGCGGGGTTGGGATTGGGATGGCGTTCGCGAATAGGCTGCTGGAATTGGAGCCGGATTTCGGGGTGATCGGACTTGTGCCTTGCGCCGCCGGCGGGACGTCGCTTGTTAACTGGACCAGCGACACTTATTATCCTTACAAGATATTCTTGTCCAGGACGAGGACGGCCATCAAGAAAGGCGGAATCCTCCGGGCTGTTCTCTGGTACCAAGGCGAAAGCGATTCCAAGTTCTATGATGTCGGAAAAAGCTACCGGAAAAACCTCGAGACATTGTTCCGCAAAATGCGCAGCGATTTGCTCTCCCCTACGCTCCCCTTCTTTCAGGTACGTAATAATCTTTTAGTTGAGATGGTTTGGTATCAGTGACATATAGTATGCAATCTAATCCAACTATTAACTTAGACTTTTAGTTGAGATGGAGCACATTAATTATATATTTTGAGACATATATAATGCAGGTGATAATTCCGCACCCAAAACCGCCGTTCAAGGGGCCATTCACGGAAGACGTGAGAAAAGCACAGACGGAAATAGACATTCCGAATGTGATAAAAGTGGACGCAGATGGGCTTCCGATGGGACCGGACGGCATTCATTTGACGACGGAGGGATATGTCCGGCTAGGAACCATGCTGGCGGAAACAGTTTCCAAGAACAAATCAGTATTATTACCCAACAATAACACTACTGTCTCCTCAACCAACCACACTTGTGGATGTCCTTAGTTAGTTTGAGGTTTACGTTTCATGGAAACAACAAATGCTTTCTAGTTTTCCAGTTTCCACGAACGCAAATTGCTGTAGATTTGCTTGAATTGAAGAAGAACGAATCCAAAAACACTTTATGATCAATTGTATTAGTGTTCTTGCAGTACTTAGTACAATTACATAAAAGAAATTTGTTAATTAGTATAGTTATATATAAAATTTTTGTTATACCCAATACATATTGGCGCATCAAAATTTTTCTAATTAACCAAACCAACCACTTATGGAATTGTTATTGTTATTGTTATTACATTAGGTTTTCCAGCCTAAACTAGACTAATTCTAAGTCCCCAAAAATATTGAAAGAGGTAAATTGAAAGTTGTCCAAACAGTCTTCCAGTCAGTTCCTGTCATTGCTGCTAGAGGGACATGACGGCCTTAATCGTGGCCAACTAAATAGAACTAGTAATGACTGTAAATAAGGTGATTGATCACTTGAGCTAGCTCGCGGGACAGGTGGCATTGCTCCAAGAGGGACACGACAGCCTTAATCGTGGCCAACTACTAAGAAGCCACATCACCAATCAACTACACTCCCTTGCCTTTTCTATCTTCAAATTATAAATAGAAGTAGTTTCCCAGTAGAAAACCTGGTCTTTTTGCCAGAGACAGATTGCAGTTGCAGCACAGGAACATGAATACCTCGAAGGTAAGAGAATTGAAGCTTGTAAAGGCATTAGTTTATATATATATATGAGTTCGTTTGAACTCAAAAACAACAAACGTTATTGTTTAGTTCATTATGTGTTTTTTTAATTGTGTTGTTGACAGGGAAGGGAGTATATAAATGAGGAAGGTGGGGTGGAGACGAAGGTGGAGAGCACAAATTATGAGTGGCCGGCGGGGCAGGGGCAGCAGCCGCGGAGGGAGAAGGTGGAAGTGATCCATCGACCTCACGGCGATGAGAATCCCGGCGTTGGTGGCGCCATGGCGGATGCAGCTACTAAGGTGGCTGACAAAATTGATTCTGCAATCAAATCAGTTTCCGGTTCTGGAACAGGTGATGATGACCTTAAGGGTGCCAAGACCGATTAATTTTTTATTTATGGAGAAAGTTTGCTTGATTTGTGACTAGTAAGAACTATTTACATATTTCTTATATACGTTCTTTATCGCTTTTAGTAATTCGGGTCCACTCCAGATAATTAAATCCATCACATATATACGAGATACAACTTTAAAAAGTTTTGAGAGTTGTATATATCGAGTGTAATGAAAATATTATGAGGATACAATTTCTCACTGTATAACATTCCCTTTTCTGTTTTGGTGTTGAACACAATACGATGCCCTGTTCCTATTCAAATGTCTCTTGACTGCAACAACAAAAAGTTGCAAGCAACAAATGAAATCCAAAGATCAGATATTGCCCCCCAATATAATCCCAACATCTATCTTTTCTTCAACCTTTCCTATTCATTCGGTGGATATTCTTAGTATCGGTCGTGTATGCCTGACCCTGATGTAGCGTAGCGCAACAAGCTAAGTGACAAGTGTTGTCACTTAGTCTGCATGCTTTGCTGAGTGGGGTTAAGGGTGTGGGGGTGGTGCTATGCACTATGGTATCTGAGTAATTTTATAAATGTATGGGAGATTAGGATTATATATAAATATAGTGTGTATAATCATGTATGATAATTCCAATTAATAAAAGAATAGTTTCGTTCCCTTTACACATTGCACGTAAATCTTTTATTCATTTTTTATTTTTGTTTTTGTTATTGATTTATTGATCTCATTTTTCACAACAATTACATTGATGACATAAATTGAACCGGGAGTCACAACTTCGTAGTTGAGTGGACTACGACTTCGTAGTATTACGAGTAGAAGATAGTTACAAGTAGTATTGTGTGTTACAGGTAGGGAGTATCACAAGTGGTGTCAAGTTGTAATGATATGAATATGACAACTGACTTTGTGTAACAATATATTGGATATGACAAGTGAGGGGATGACCCTCCTATTTATACTAATTAAGCTGTCTAATAGGGAATATACTCCGGTCTTTGGCCTTCTTGTAGTCAGGATCTGGTCGGGTACGAATCGCCTTGACCGACCAGAGTGCAGCCCTTAGCCGACCTGACCTTAACCGACCAGAGTGCAGCCCCTAGCCGACCAGACCTGAAGGTTAATCAACTCGTTGGCTTGATGAGCTGTTGCCCTAACATTTATGTGCTCGGTCCCGATTTTATTGCTCGTCCGAGACCCTGAACACGTATACTGTACTGGGCGTCCAAACCGAAACCAATAAGCAATTAGCTAGTCAGATATATCCTTACACGTGTACGTCTCCCCTTAGTCGACCTGATTACCGAGTGCATGGAAGACACGTGGCTCGCATTGACACTCTACATCCATGCAATCATTATTCTATAGACCATGATCTACACATTTGTATGAATAATAAATAAAAAGTACATTTTTAATATATTAAAAGTACATAATTTTTTATATGTTATCAAATAGTATATATTCATTATACAAATAATATACTTTTAGTATATTAAAAATGAATATTATATTTATGATTCACACAGTTAGGTGGACCATGATCCACAGAATAAATTGCCACATCCATGTGACAACATGCATTCTTAATAATGTGCAAATTAATGAGTGACGACAGAGTCTTAGGTTTATTAGTGATCCGACATTCACGCTACTTTCAACACAACCCGCTGAGAGTGTATATAAATAACATTTTCTAATTTCTAACGGTTCCAATAGACATTGGTGTCTATAATATCCGGTATTTAGTATTATATAAAAAAATCATAAACCAATAAATATTTTTAGCATTTTAACATAATAGTAAAATATTTACCCTTTTTTTTACCTTAGTTTTTTTTTTTTTTTTTTTTTTAATATAAATATTTTTTTTTTAAGTTTAAAACATGACAAATTCAGTCGACTGACTAATTAAAATGAATTAAACTGCATCGCATCACAGCATCAGTAACAGCTTGGCATTGACATTAAAGTATTAAACAACAAAAGATTCTACTACAGACAACTAAAACACTGTGCTTCCTCAGTTCCACTAGTTGCTGTTTTTCATGTTTTCTTTTCCTTCCAGATAAAATGCCAACTATCTCAACACACAAAAAAGGTAAATCGTTGAGCCAAGTTATAAACAGTTTAGGCTAATTTACTTTCATATGGTTCTTTGTCGACTAGGATTACAAGGTGGGCTTTAGTACCTCACCTAGAATAGCGATTGCGAGCGTTTTAATAAATAAAGAAGAAGTAAATCGTACTAGAAAAATCCTATGTTACAAATTCATCCAAGATGATGGGCAAGAATCAAACTTAGCTCGTAATTTTTAAATACGAGAAGCATACCTCACTCACTCAGTCGTTCTTATCAAAACATATAACATCTTGTTTTGACATAATAAAAAGTGGCATTTAAACCAATTTTTTAATAAGTCTTAATCACCCAAATTAGTTAATTATTGCGTAAAGTCATGTTAAATAGTAATTTCTTTTTCATCAACCTTAAATAAGGAATTGGAATTGGTGACATGCATGATGGGCAGCTTAATATGTCCCACTGAATAAGCAACGGCAGGAGAATTATTATTTTGGCAATATATCTAATCTATATTAAGGAAATATGAAAACAATTAAGATTAAGAATCCACTGAGGAATCAATGCTTAGGATGTTCTTGAGTCCTTGTCTTCTTCAACAATGGCTCCCGGGAAGAACAGATCGGCCATGAATGATTGGAGCTCTCAGAGCTAAACGACACATCCATAACCCCTTTCGGGCTCCCAGGGATTCTGCGTTTCTGAGCTCTATCAAACTCAAATCTTGATGCCACTTCTCTGATTAGCCTCCAGCATTTCTCCACTTCCTCCTGCATGTTTCGTTACACCGACTACTATTGTTAGTTTTCTCTATGTATCTCGCGTACATGCCCGCCCGCCCTGACATGGCGGGACGAGAAAAAGATATGTATCTCGAGAGTACAAATAGTATTTTTTTTTTTCTTTTTTGGGGTTTTGGAAATACAAACCCTGTTGGTTCCAAGAATGCCCAACAATAATTGCTCTTGGGACTCTTCTATGCCAATGCAAGGCTCCAGCTTTTTAATGACATGCAGCATGGTGGCAGAGGCCACAACAGAGGGCAGGTAACACATGAATCTACAATCTGCAGAAATTCATGCAATTCATAGTCAACACAACATAAAATGAATCTTGGTTTGAGCACCTATTAATTTTCTTGATTTGAATCGATTAGCCAGTCATAAATAACCTAACCTGGTTCATGATCCTTTCCTCATTAGGATTACAAGACAGTGTTTACCTAACTTCTTAGTTTGGGTCAGTTAGTTATAGGTAAGCTTACTTATGATCCTTTGCCGGTTATTGTTACCAGACAGGGTTTAGATTTCCTTGTCATCCAAAACATAAAATGAATCTTGAAAATAGAGACATTTGTGTTGGTTGTTAATTAAGGATGATTACCAGAACTGATGGAGATAATTACATGTCCACATCTCCTGAGGAACTCAGAGTAGAGGGCATTCTTGAGCCCAAGCCTTCTTGCAATGTAATCAAGAAATGTGAAAGGGGTGACAGGGTTCATCCGCCATTGAAGACTGGAGAGAACCAACAGCTCCATTCTCTCAATTGTTTTAGCCTCAAACATAAACTCAGATTCCTCAACCTACACCAAAACACCATCCCAGATTAACAATAAGAATGTCTGATAATTGTGGGTTAACTAACTAACTAACATCAATACCTGAAAATCCAGGAGGAGAGGCGCTTGGGTCTCTTCAACTTTGGCAGCAAGGGAGATGCAGGCAACAGCCGCGAGTTGACTCATCCATGGCGGCTTCTGAGTTTGGGATTCAACAACACTACTCCCCAGAAACCTATCAAGGTAGTTCACTGCCAGAAGTGCAGTCTGGGCTGAGAAATTATGGCCACCATTCATCTCCAAAATCCACTCCACAGCCTCAGTTCTTGCATCCGACAAAGATGGGTTCTTTTCAAGAATGTCGTGCAGATTGTTCTCTTCTTCTTTGGACAACAAAAACCTCAGCTCTTCATCTCCCCACACCAAATCCTGTTCTATATACCTATCATCGAAATTGTTTCTGATAAAACACTCCTCTCCAAGATTCTCCTCTTCGCAGTACAG